GTACACTTGTCTTAGAAATCCCAATGCAGATAGAAGATGTAATTGAAATCTGTTTAAGCTGGACAGAGCCAGCGTTATGCCTTAACACCGATGTAAAAACATGTATTTAAATCCTAGTTTTCCGCATTACCTCAGTTGTGGAGGAGAAAAAACGAATACACAAATCGATACCTCTGTAGTGTATTTACTCTTGTGTAAATATTTATTATACATAAACGTTTTTTTCATTCTAGAGGTGCATCTTTCGACTGCATTTTGATTTTAATGGCAGGTGTAGGTGGAAACCATTTTTAAAAGAACAAAACAGTAAGGTGTTACTTTTTTCAAATACTTTGTGTGCTTGTTACCATTTTTTGTGCTTTCCCTCAAACTGATCATATAAAAATGGAACTTCATCATAAGGGCTGATTTCAGAGTGCGTGCTAAGGACGGCAATTCTGCTAAGACTTTATTTTTCCAAAGTAAGATCATTATATATATTTATTTCCCCACATATGTAATTGATACAGGTATATAGAGAGATATAATTTATTTAGGAAAAAAAAATTAAACAATCATAAACTTTTACGAATGGAGGTGGTGTGGCCCCTCTTACAATGTGGTTTTTGTCTTTAATTTTGGTGTTATTGCAAAGATGCCATGCCCAGCGGCAAGATGGTGAATGCAATTGCCGGTAAACCCTGAAATAAACTGGGACAAAATCTCATAGTTGATCTAGTGATGACAATATCAACCCAGTTTTATTGCATTCTGCAAAGGAATATAAATTGAGCCCTCCACCTCTATAAGACTTCAGAGTGTGTCCTAACCCTCTCGTGTGTTTAGAAGTTGTTTCACTCTCACGTTGAGCGTGCATGCGTCTGTGGAGGGAATGCATTTTAACATCTGCGTAATTATGCTAACACTTTTGCACTGATTGAAAAGAATTTTTAGTGTGTGTGTGTGTGTGTGTGTGTGTGTGTGTGTGTGTGTGTGTGTGTGTGTGTACTTGCATCCTGATTTAACTTTATAGATAAGCATTGCATCAGCCTGTCTTGTGTTGTCATTTGTCCTCAGCAGACTATAAGGAAACACTGTGGCCAAGCACATAATGTTTTTTTGCTGGGTTTTTTGTTTTGTTTGTTCTTTGTTTTTTTCTTCTGCCGCTGGTCAGTAAATGTCTGTTTCCCTCACACGGCCTTAAATGTGCTTACACGCATTTCTTGTGGTCGCAGTTCATTTGTGGTGTTTTTTTCCATATGAGATGAGTTTGTGTTGTAGAGACACTGGAGCTCAGCTTTGAACACAGAGTTTTGATAGTCTCCACATTTACACGCCATGGTAGTGTCTAATGTTAGTCGTTTTATTATAAGCAGTGCCTTGGTAATAAGGATTAGCATTTGCTCTTTTTAGAAGCCGTCTCATGTTAACCAACAGATTTGCTTTCACATATTTACCAGCACATAGGATGTACAGTATTTTTGATTTCCATGCCATTGTGTATAGCATCGAGTGCATATAGTGAAACTGTGGATGTGTCTTGTTAGCTGACAGGTCAGTCTGTTGTATCTGACAGTGTATCTTTTGTCATGGGACTGCGCTGTCTTTAACATCCTGAAGAAACGGGAGCATGCCATTATGGCAAACCTTCTGATCATACTATGGTTTCTTATCCACTATATAGACCAGTCGAAGGATCACAGTGACTGGAACAAGGTGCTATGTTTTCATCCTGAAATGGTGAATTTGTTTTCTTCTTCTTCTTCTTCTTCTTCTTCTTTTTTTTTTTTGTGGTTACAAAAGTTTGTCTGTATGTTTTTGTTCTGTAAATTGAGCAGCATTAGCTGAAATATGAAACATGCCAAAAGAACTTGTTTTCAGCACAGCTTTACAGTACGTGTTGTTTTCAGAGACTGAGTAGAGAGGCAAATACATCTAATTTTGAGTGTATTTAATCGTTCTGTGTGTGGTTGATTATGTAATGTTTATTTAAAATAAAAAAGAATAAAGTTTAATTTTCTTTGTTTTTGTTTTTGCTGTTGCTTGGAAGTAGTTTTTCATGTAACTTAACTTGTAAAAACTTAAATACTTAAACAACTCGATTCTTTACCCTCACATTTTCCAACCAAAGGAGTCTACTGTGTTTTCCATTTGTTTGGTTAAATAATAACTGTAGACAAGAGACATTATAGATGGATAGATAGATGCCTAGAAGTTTGAACTATAACGCCTAAATCTATATAACAATAAAAAAGAAAGTATTTAGTGAACAGCTTCTGAATGAATATAAAGGTTTTATACAGACTTATTCACATTTTGTTACTACTGTCATATATATGTTTTCCGTACTTTTGTCCTTTGTCTCTTTCTCCCCTTTGACTTGCTCTATGACTCTTTCTAACCAGTTGATTCTGCTCACTTGTTGGAACTTATGAAGGAAAAGCACATATACATGGTCCATTGATTAAACGTCATTTTACATCATACAGCATCAACAGCTGCATAAATCACATTCAGTGACCCTCATTTCTAGAAGAGCTCAGTGGCAGTGTTAGGGTAACCTGTTGATCAAGTCTTTTTTTTTTTGTAAATCAGGACTTTTCATATGGAATAATTAAGGTGAGTTGTTTTCTTTAACAGCACCTCACTGCCACGTGTTCCCACTATTGTCCTGTGCTTGCTATAATACTGTAAATACTATCAAGACTGTAAATAAAGATGTGCTTCTTTTTTGCTAGTTTGTCTCATTTTTTATTTAATTGTTTTATTTCAAACATATAAGTAATATAAAAAAAAATATTGGATACAAAAAAAAGGAATTGCTCTACCATACAATTTACATGCTTCAAAAGGGGTAGGATGAAGCTTACGCCTACTTGATCCTGCCCACCTTATTGCTTGTTTTTAATGTTGTCCAAGCCCCTTGAGTGTTTTGGGGAGGACATGCCTGCCATCTGCTGTTCAGTCTTAGTAATCTTAATCTTTGGTAGAACTAAAATTTGTCTCACTTGTCATCTGCCATCGTTTCACCTCTCATCCGAGAAGCTTCTTCAGTTCTGAAGAAGCTTCTCGGATGAGAGGTGAAACGTCTTCAAGCAACTTAAAGAAGTCTTTTATTTGCAAGCTCCTTTGATTGTCATCTGCCATGTAACTGTTCTTAAGGTAACACCCATGTGTTTCAAGCTGTGAACATGATACAGCTATGACCTTATTCTCGAAATGGCTGTGAGGTCAAGTGGAAGGCCACGGAGACCGGACTGGAGAGTATGCATTGCTTCCATTTAGCAAAAAAAAAAAGAAAAGTCTCATTACAAAGACATGTTTTACTTAGTGTTTAATATTTAGGTTGCTAAATTATAGCCAGGCTGTTGGCAGGTGCCATGAGAGGGTGGTTACTGTCTGCAAGTGAGTTTTAAACATTTACCAAAAAGTTGCAGAAATATGTCGTGGTGTTGTTTTGGTATATTAAGTGATTTGAAATCAAGGAACCTAGCCTGTGCTAATTTGTGACACAGTACCGCAGTAGAAGGTTTGGACGTATTTCATGCCAACACAGAGGATAGCATTATCTAAACTATTTTCTTCCTCAGTACACATACTCTAGTTAGAGTATGGAAACTAAACACAGTGGCCAGGAGAGGATGAAGCAGAGGAAAGCAGCAACAGTGGATTACCGTCTGCTAGAGTTTCTGGGAGTTTAAATCAGGGTCCAGGCTACCTGCTGCTGTCAGTCACTGGCACTGGGGGGAAAGCCCGCACTGGAAGAGTAAGAAAATAACATGGAAGCCAAAGTTTGGGGACAAAAGGGTTAACACTGGCTTTAGTCACTTCAAGTAGAATGATTTTTTCCTAAAAGGAAATTGAGAGTCTATATTAAAAATGTGCACTGCAACCTGAGGTTTGTTGCCATGCTTTATCAAGTGATTTAATCAAAGTGAATACTTCACTAAGGATACATTTAAAGTATTACTGTATTCTAGTCCTTTCCACAATATGGACAATATGAAGTCATAACTTCATTCTGGCCCTGATGAGCTGGGGACAGCAGCTGTCACAGTGGATGTTGTGGAAAACAGTCTGCTGCAAGCTCAGTCAACCTCTCAGCCTAATCATAAGCAGATTAAGTGGATTTATTATTCACTACAACTACTGCAAATGAATGAACTATCAAGAGAGACAGACTGATAGATTTATGTTTTTGTTCAGAGATCAGAGCGGGGTTTAATTCTATAAATAAGCAGAAGAATGAGGAAGCTGTTTGTGCCTTTGTCACCACTGCAAATGTTCAATGATATCAGAGTGCAGGCTGGATTCTGTTACTGGTAATATGATGACAGGGACTGGATTTGTGATGCAGTATCTAATGATGTCTTGGTGTTAATTACCTTCACATTTAACCTGGCACATCTTGAGCTGTTGTAAGCTGAGGTAAACTTTCATTAAGTAGAGACAGAGGTGGCAAGAGATTGATTTGAGCATCTCAGATTTGCACATCTAAGAAAGTCTGAAACAAGTGAACAACAACAAGCCAAGAAGTGGAGGTTCAGTTTTGTTTGCAGCTCTGTTAAGTCTTCAAATCATGAATAATCCCCTACGGGACATAGCTCTCCCTTGGTAGCGCCCCTGTCTGCCAGAGGTTTCTAACTGTTAAAAGGGAGTTTTTCCTTCCCGCTGTCGCCAAGGTGCTTGCTCATTGGGTGGGTCGTCTGATTGTTGGTGTTTCTCTGTATTATTGTTGGGTCTTTAACTTATAATATTAAGCGCCTTGAGGCGACTGATATATAACTAAACCTGAACTGAACTGAAACTCAATAAACTGCTCCTGCTTGACGCGTCCACACGCGGCATATTTACACCTAGTATGAGTTGTTTATGACTTGTGTCCGTATTGCCGTCTCCAGCCTGCAGCAGCAGCAACCCAGCAGAGGCCAGGCCAGCCTGCTCTCCTTCCCGAAGCCACCATCAGGCTATCTCCTATCTCCAAATGACAGGTCTATTTTGGAAAGGAGGCTGCGCCAAAATAGGCACGTCAGCTATGTGGCATCATGAGGCACCAGAGAAGAAAGAAAAAGTAAGTCTGCTCAACCGCCCACTGCAGGAGACGGGGGGATGTTTCACTATCTTGGATTTACAACCATTTTGAAATATATTTGAGGTCAAAGAAGACTTTTTCTTGCCCCCCATGTGGAGCCCCTGAACGCTGTTGGAGAGGGCCATCATCCGGAAATCCTGACGGGCTATTGATTGTTTGGCCCACATGATTCAGCGCCTGAATTTCCTGAGCGGTTAAGGACTCAAGGTGAAGAAGCAGTAACACAACAGTTAACTCATTTTCTTACAGTAAAGTTTACATAGGAACTTGGTCGAAGTTAGAATTTCTTTTCCTTTTTTTGTTGGTTAATTTGAGCTTAGGTGCAGCTCAAAGAGGTAGATAGCTGTCATTTTTCACCTGTGACTATTACAGGGGCGGATTTGAGTTCATTAGCTAACCGCATCATCCAGCTGAAGTTTCTGTTATATTTAAGTAAACACAAGCTCCTTTGTCGAATTTTTTCCGTGATTTTTTTTTAGTCGTTCATTAAATTCCAGTGTCTTTTTTTACGAGTTTTCCTCAGCTGGTAGAAAACGGACAGTGCTAGAAATGAAGTATGTTTGTGAAGTGGGAGCTTTATCAAACAGCTGATGTCCCTTTCGCTTCTACAAATGGCAATGGACAGAGACGGAGTCTGACAGCTGAGGTTATTTTTGGGACAGGCAGTTAAAGCGGCGGAGGTGACAAAGCTGGTAAATGTCACTGTTTGAAAGACACATAAGCGCTCTTTCTGACCTTGTTGTGAGGGAATTTGTTTGCTATTTAGCTTCTTTCCCTTTGTGGAGCAGGGAAATTATTTTACTGCTATTGTTGAATAATTGTCATCATTACCATTGCATTAATAATATAATCTGGAGTTTATATTGCATTCAGATGTTGAAACATCTGAATAGGTCTTTGTATTGATGAATGTCCGCTGCGGCAGGTCAAGGATATGTTGACTGATATATAGCTACTGTAACTGTCAGCTATAAATATGCCACCCTAACTCTGGATTTATGTCTATTTTCATAGCATAACATATTTTAGAGAACACATAGCAGAAGGCCAGATTTTACAATGGGTTTGTGTAAAGTTGACAGGTGTTTGTGGAGGAATATGATCTACAGGAAATAATAGTAAATGTATTTATTTTTTCTTGATATAGTTTTGTAATTTTTACATTTGTACTTCCTGGTTTATTTATACTTGCAGTTGAAGATTGGTGTTTTTAATAAAGGTTATTAAACTTGTACATATATAAAATCAGTTTTGTATTTATTTATTTAATATTTTTATTGTTTCAATTACTTTATTTGTACCCATGGGTAGATTTGGTCTGGAGTAGAGAGTCATCCATCTTCCATCCATGTTTGTCAGTGCAAACACAGAAAATATATAAGCTTAATAAAAAATACTGAAGAAATAATTATACTATAATTACAGAGAATTCACTTGGCATCATGTAGGATAGCAACGCTATGCTCGGTTAATCTGAGTAATGGCTGCTGGAACAAAGTTGTTTTGTAAACCGTATTGTTTTGCACTTTGGGACGAGAAGCTGAAAGTCACTATGCAAAGGGAGCAAATTGTCCAGTAAAATCATGCCCAGCAGACACTATAATTGTGGTGTACAGTGATGCTGAGCTCAGCCGTGGCTCACCAATCTGCCCTTTCTGTCCTTCAAAGATAAATATCAGTTCAATTCAATTTTATATACATAGCACCAAATCACAGCAACAGTCACCTCAAAGTGTTTTATACTGTAAAGACTCTACAGTAATAGAGAGAAAACCCCAACAATCAGATGCCTCCCTATGAGCAAGCATGTGGTGACAGTGGGAAGGAAAAACTCCCTCTTAACAGGAAGAAGCCTCTGGCAGAATCAGGCTCAGGGAGGGGCAGCCATCTGCCATGACTGATTGGGGTCAGGGTTAGGTTGAGGGTAGGGCGAAAGGACAAAAGAGAGAGAGGCAGAAATCAACACCGTGACACCAAATAAAAAGGATAAAACAGACTAAAAAAAGAAGGATGAAACAAATGGTTTTATCAGTGTGGAGATTTTTTGCACACATGTTGCTTCAAAGTTGAGTTTGGACTCAATAACTGTTCCAAGATATTAATAAGACTTATAAGATGTGTAATATTTGCCCTTTGTTTGATCACAGGAACAAACGATGGAACAAAACTTGTTTGGAGGGGCCCCCAGGTTTCTCACTCGCCCAAAGGCATTTTCAGTGTGTGTGGGCAAGGATGCCACACTCAGCTGCACAATTGTGGGCAGCCCAACTCCACTGATAACCTGGGAAAAAGACAAGCTGAAGCTGACGTCCGGAGGCCGCTTCAAGACTGTGGAAGATGGAGACGCTTATCGCCTGACCATCTATGACTTAACTCTGGAGGACAGTGGACAGTACATGTGCAGAGCTAAGAACAGCGTCGGTGAAGCTTACGCCGCTGTAACCCTCAAAGTGGCGCTGCCGACAGAGATGTCTCAGAAGGCCCCTGTTTTCATGGTGAAGCCTGCCTCTGCACGTGTTGTTTTGGGCGGTGATGTTGTTTTCCACTGCCAAGTTGCAGCTTACCCTGAGGCCAACTTTGAATGGGAAAAGGATGGGCGCTACCTGGGGGAGACCAGTCGCATCAAGATCATTTCTGAGAGCGATGGCAGCACTTTAAAGATCCAGTGCGTACGAAACCTGGACAGCGGCACTTACACCTGCAGGGCCCAGAACACTGTCGGCCGCGCACAAGCTGCGGCTGCCCTCGTTGTAGATGCTCAGGATTCCCACCGCCAAGCTGTAGATAAGAGCAGCTCCCTTCTCTCTCACCTACAGAAGCGCAAAGAGGAGATCTCCATCTACCGCAATGAAGAAAGCAGCGCCTCCATTTCTTCCTCCTCCACGGCCAAAATCACGGATGCTTTCAGTTCTCTGGGCCTGGAACACGATCTGCGAGCATCTGCCCTGGCGAAGCTTCCTAAAGGTGTATTCACTCGTACCTGCACCGTGACTGAGGGGAAACATGCCAAACTCAGCTGCTTTGTGACCGGTCACCCCAAACCCCACACTATCTGGAGGAAGGATGGAATGAACATCAGCGAGGGCCGCAGACATGTCATTTATGAGGACCAAGCTGAGAACTTCATCCTGAAAATCCTGTACTGCAAGCAGACTGATAATGGCCTCTACACCTGCAATGCAACCAATATGGCAGGGCAGACCTACAGCGCTGTGTTAGTAACAGTCAAAGGTAAGCTATTACCATTTTTGAGCAATCGCAGTTAAGAAAATCCTCCTGAATTAAGTTTTTAGTAAAGATATGTTTGCATACTTCTAATAAGTATGCAGGGAAATATTAAGGCTGGCTTTACCTTATTTTTTGATAATGCTAACAAATCTCAACTCACTTTCTGTCTGTAGTACTCAGGTCAAAGACCCTAACCCTCTGAAGATACAAATGTTTATAAAAAGCTCATACTTATGTACATATTTAATAGTTTAGAAGTCATGAATCCTTTTCTAGGAGACGTAAATGGTTTATTTGATGAGGATATTTTGAGCTGCATATTAATTTATTACACTGTTTATAACACTGTCATGGTGTATCTATAATCTGCAGCATCCGTTGTACTTAAATATCGTGTCCCCCATGCTCCAGTGTGACTCATTTGTATATTTTAATAGTTACAAACTGAGAGCAGTGCTTACTGGGAACTGTAATTACTCTTCTGAATCTTCTGGGTGTTGTTGTTTGCCTTTTAACAACAAGACTGAATTCTGGCTCATGTCCTGAAGTAAGGTGTTGTGTTGCAGCTATTTTCTGCTGGCGATGAGTAGTTCACAGTTGCTAAGATGGTCACTCACTCAGTAGATCACTTTGGCACACTGCTGATGTGACTTCCCTCAGGAAGATGTTGGTCCAGGATATGAAGCTGTAGAGTTGCAGATTTTAATTTCAGATATTAATTTCCAGTCAGTCCGATGTCGAGTGCCAAGCTGCCGATGTACCAGCTGAATTCAAAGTGCAGGAAAATTGGTTCTTTGTGTGATATTTTCCCAGCAATTTGGTACTTTGCTGGAGTTTTGCAGAAAGCTTTGAAATGGAAAGAAGTTTTACTATATGTGGCTAGAAAATAAATGGTAGTGTAATGGCAAATACAGTATCCAGCACATGAACTGCATGATAGTCTTTATATACCATTCTTTACATATGCACTGGAGAAGTAGTTTGCTAATACTCATCCATTTTCTTTAGTACTTGTCCAGTTTAGGGTTTAGGGTTGAAGTTAAGCTGGAGTCTACCACAGCTGTCAATGGGTGGATAAGCTGGATACACCCTAGACAGGTTGCCAGTCTACCACAGGGCTAACATACAGAAAAAGAAAGCTATTCACACTTACATTCACACCAAGAATCACCAGTTAACTTAAAATAAATGACTCTGAACTTTGAGAGGAAGCCGTAGTGTCCGAGAGAGAACCCACACAGGCAAGGGGAGAACGTGCAAAATTCACACATAAAGGCAGTGGATTGGAACAAGAACAAGAATATGAGATGAATAAGAGATGTTGACAGAAAGGATCCCATTCCTATCAGTGCACCTTATGTATTCTATAAATGTGACAGACTGTCCATGGTGTAACCTGCCCCTTGGATTTGGAGTTTTTTGCCACTTCTGGTGATAAAAAGTAATCTTATGTTTGCTTTGGAAGCCATCCTGTATTTGAATCTTTGCAGTGCCTGTTTGGATGTTATTACAACCATGCTTGAAGCAAAAATATTCAGCATGGCAAGATGAAATTAACTCACTTAGTCTTTGGAGAGCACAGTTTAGGAAACATATTGGAAAACATGAATGCAAATGTTAAATATTTTATTTGGCTATACTGAGTGCTCAGGTTGAACTTATCTCACTTCTTAAATCAGATTTTCTACACTTGATTCCTGAATTTAAATGTTCTAGTTTCTCTCACTTTATTGATATTTCATTAGCCTGACATATATTTGAATATGTGTGTAAATACATGTAGAAGTTGAAAGTGTGATGTAGTTCAGCTTTGGTTAAAGATTCTGTCATATTTCCTTGTGCCAGAACCCAAGGTGCCATTCAGGAGAAAGCTGCAGGATGTGGAGGTGCAGGAAAAAACCTCAGCCACACTCATGTGTGAGGTGCCTCTTAGTTCCACTTATACCAACTGGTTCATGGAGGAAACGCGACTGCAGCAAAATGCTAAATATCGCATGGAGCAGGACGGCACCCTCCGTCGCCTCACCATACACAACGTTACCACCAACGACGATGGAGTTTATATATGCGAGATGAAAGAGGGCAGTCGCACTGTGGCTGAGCTCACAGTCCTGGGTACGGTAGAGACTCTTTTTCTTTCCACTGTTCTTCTTCAGTGTTTGTGCACTTATCAAGTGTAATTACAATTGTCTATATGGGTTTAATGTAAATATTACATGCATCTCATGTGGATACTTAATGCGACATGACCTGGTCTGTGAATGTTTACTACATTGGACCATTATTTACTGCTATATCTATTTGAAAAATGCAGTTTTCAGTTATGTTTTCTTCATCTCAAATCAGTTTCTTCTTATATCTCAGGTAACATAACTAAGAAGCTTCCTCGGAGGACAGTAGTTCCTGTTAGCGACACTGTCATCTTCTGCGTGGAGCTGGAACATCCCTATCCAGACGCCTACTGGACTCGCAATGGCGAGAAGTTAAAAGAGGATTCACGTATTTCAATCGGCTGCGTGCTTAGACAGTACACACTCACAATTAGAGATTGCCAGGCAGAGGACTCTGGAGAAGTGGCGTTTGTGGCTGGAGACTGCAAGACATCCACCCGATTCTCAGTTACTGGTGGGTTAAATGTTGTTTGATACATTCTAATGATATCTGTAGTAAATATATACAAAATATCTTGTGGCGATTGATTTAAATTCAATTTATTTTATTTATATAGTGCAAAATCATTTCAACAGTTGCCTCAAGGCGATTTTTATTGTAAGGTAAAGATCCTACAATATTAGAGAGAAAACCCAACAATCAGACAACCCCCTATGACTAAACACTTGGCAACAGTGGGAAGGAAAAACTCCAGCCATCTGCTGCAATCTTTTGGGGATGAGGGGAGGGTGACAGGACCCTTTGGTACAATAATGAACCAAACATTTATTGAATTATACAAAACAGTGTATCTCGATATATTTCTTGTTGTTAGGTCAAATATCAGCATATATTACGTAAATACAAAAGAAGAACTGAAACTAGTACTCCAACTAAATAACATCACAATATTTTTCTCTAGCTGCCCGGAAGCATCCTCCCGATCCCCCAGTTGACGCTGTGGTGCAGAACAAAACAGAGTCCTCCATCACCATTCAGTGGTCTCCTCCTGACAGTGACCGCCCTGTCCCCATCAAAGGCTACGTTGTAGAGCGAAGGAAGGTTGGTACCCAAATGTGGCAGAGGTGCAATGCTGAAGAAACCATTGTCACAACAGAGTTTACAATCTGCAACTTCACTGAAGAAGCTAGCTACCAGTTCCGTATCTCTGCCATTAATGACTTTGGGCAGAGTGCCTACCTGGAGGTACCTGGAACCTTCTACCTTGGTAAGACTGAATTCTCTGTGATTGTTGTCATTTATGTCTATGTTTGGTTTTTGTTCTTCCTTCTTAAAATCCTGTTTGCGGGCCTCTTTTCAGAACCCACTGCAGAAATCAGAAAAGGTCTGATTAACAGCACTGCAGTCTCCGGTGAGGAATTCTCCATCTCTGTCGAGCTGTCTGCTGTTTGCTCAGGCTTCTGGTCCCTAAACGGACGCCTTTTGCGCAGCGGAGCCGACTACCTCATCACCAGGTCAAAAAACATACACACATTGCTCATCCGAGTTGTGACCATGGAAATGAATGGAACTGAAGTCAAGTTTGTGGGTGGAGGCTCACAAAGCAGTTGCATCCTCAATGTGAAAGGTACATACTAGAGAAATGACCTCAGTCCTATTAATTTGTGTCTTTTTTTGTGTTTTTTTTTCTTCCAATCAGTAATACCCTCTTACAGTGCCACGTTGTTTTCAGCCCCTTCTGTTAGGTTCACCAACAAATCCGATCATCTAGAGGTGGTAACCTGCAGTGCCCAAGCCACTGCTCAGCTGACTGTTGAGGTGTCAGATTACGACACACAGGTTAGTGATAGAAATATGTAAATAATTTGTTTTAGTTTTTGCCTTTACAGACTCTATTAAAACAGCTGTTTTAATATAACGTTTAACGTCTTTTTGAAAGAGCTTTGTAGATGTGTCAATAGGATATTTAATTATCCTAATTCTACGTCTACATATTATTATTGTAGGGTCTACCTTACAATATAAAGCTCTTTGAGGCGGCTGCTGTTGTGATATGGCGCTGTATAAATAAAATTGAATTGACCTGACAAAGACAAAGAGCTTTACTTGAGTAATTTACTTAAGTACTGGTTTAATGTACTTGTATTTTAATTTAAGCACTTCTGTGTAGGGTTACTTCCTGCTTCTACTCTACAATATTTTGATTCAAATTCGACATGATTAATGTGCTTACTTTAGGTACCTCAAATTATATTTTGACTATACAACTTGTGCACTATTAGATTACTTAATAGGATTATAACTTTTACATCTGTATACATTTTTTTCATTTTACCTAACACAAAATTCTGTTTTAACTCTTGTGTAACACAACTTTTCACTTTTCATTGAATACTCAAATTTCCTGTGACCGCCTTGTTCTTTGTCCTCCAATGCTACACCCTTGGTGCACCCTTTTCTGAATAATCTGCAAATGAGTAATTCCAGTTAACATTAATAGCACATGTATGTGTTTGTGTGATCCTAACCTGTTTAATTTGGAAAGCATTTCTGTATTTCTTTCTTCAGGTGGTTTGGACGAAGAACGGACGGGAGCTAAAAATGGGCAAAAAGTATGAATATGTGCTTAATGACCGCAAGAGGATCCTGATGGTACACAACGTCACTGAGGAAGATGTGGGCATTTATGATTGTGTGTTACCTAATGACAAGATGTCCATGCAACTCACTCTTAAAGGTATGTGTAAAAATTGCAGCTAACTTTACATCATTTGTTGCTTCAAATCACAATTAGGATTTTCCAGAGAGGATTTTTGTAATAGGAACTAGGTTCAGGGTGCAAAACACCTCAAATGATTTACTGGAATGTGAGCTGCTCTGATTGGTTTTATCTTTGAGGCATCAAACAGATTCATTAGCTTGTCTCAAAAGAAACTGCCCGTGCTTTCAAGGACAAAATAAAACAGGCAGAAATGGTCCGCTCTAACTCAAGTATGCTCTCTGTTTATTTTTCTGTTTTTAACTGTAAATGAATTTCCACATTAAGTGACTTCATCCTCACTCTAACCCATTACCCGAGTATTCCTGCCATTAAAAAAATAAAAACAAAAAACCCCATAAAAATGTGAAAGCCTAAAAAATTTAAATGCAAGAAAAAAACATCCATTAATTACAGGTGACATGTTTTAGATGAGTTTTTTCTAATGTAAATATCTCATAAAAACACAAGAACATCATCCACATGTCACATGATATGGACCCACAGCATTATACAATTCAAAGTAAAGTTAAAGAAAGTTTCTTCATCCTCTGCTGATCAACCCTCTGACCTGTGATGTGCTTTCTTATATTTAACGGGTCACTGTAAAGTGGCTGCTATCGGTTGGAATTCATGTATGATAATTTAATAACTGCTTCCTTTTACTTTATTAGAAAGGAAAGGAAAACATGTTTAGTCCTTTTGTTTATTTAAATGTTTATTTTAAATTAATTGAAAATAAATCCTGAGAAGAAACTGCTTCTCAGGCTGCCCCTGTTGTTGGAAGTGGTTGGGCCGTGGCCAACCCTCTTCCTAAACATGAGCTCCTGCGTTAACAATCCAACCAAACTTTTAAAAAAGACATTTAATTTTATTATTACACATAAGTCACATGGTAACTTTTTATTGCTTTTCCCTCCCTAAGATGAACCTGCCAAATTTCTAAACAAAGCCAGAGGTACCATGGGAATGTCATCGACTCTCAAAGGAGATCTTGAGCTGAGCTGTGAGGTTTCATCTGCCAGTGCTGCTGTTGTGTGGAGAAAAGATCAAATGGAAATCACTGAGGACCAAAGAACTACCATCATCTCCAAAGGGACTCAAAGGAAACTCATTATCAAGAGTGCCAAGAAGATTGATGAAGGACATTATTCGTGTGAGACAGCAGCTGACAAAATCACATTCCAGGTTAAGATAAAAGGTAACACTGCATGATGGCACAAGGCTGGGTTTTTTATGTTGATTTGGGAGTATTTGATGGCACAGAAACTTCTTTTTTCCTCACAGAAACTCCAGCTGTAGCTGCCTTCTCCAACAAAGAGTCAGTCCAAAAGGAAGTGAAGGCCACTCTCTCCCAAAAAGCAACTCTTACTTGTAATGTGTCAGATAGCAAGACAGAGGTGAAATGGTACAAAGATGGCAAGCTGTTGATATCCAGTAGGACCATATACTCAGAAGCAAAAGGCAACACTCGCCAGCTGGTGATTGAAAAGGTGGAGAAGAGTGATGCTGGAGAGTATACCTGTGAAGCTGGAGGGGACAAGCTAGTCTTCAAGATATTTGTCACAGGTGGGACAGCCTGGTTGATTCATTTAAATCTAAAGATTTTTAATCTTTATAAATGTATAAAATTCATAGTAATGCTCATGGTGTACATTTAATCATCTAAACCATCCACTATCTTGAAGTGCCAAAAATATACATATTTAGATTTATCATATCATCCTATCAAGCGCTAAGTGTGTGTTTCATATTTTGCCTCTAAATTATTCCAATCATCTGTGATTTTAAAGCTTATGACAGCACTGCTCTTCTTACTTGTGTTACCCTCAGATTCCCAGTCAGCTTTCATCAACAAGGAGTCTATTCAGAAGGAGGTTAAAGCCATGCTTTCCCAGAAAGCCACGTTGAGCTGTGAGGTGGTCGATACCAAGACAGAGGTGAAGTGGTACAAGGATGGCAAGCTGCTGACTTCCACCAAGACAATCCATACTGAGTCAAAGGCCAAGAATCGCCAGCTGGTGATCGACAGTGTGGAGAAGAAGGATGCTGGAGAGTACATCTGTGAGGCTGGGACTGAAAAGCTTGCCTTCAAACTACAGGTGGCAGGTAGGGGCAATGATCTAACTGGTTTGATTCATGGGGCTTGCAGGTGCTGCAGAGAGAGAGAAATTTATCATCCATATTCATGGTCTCCTCAGACACACAGGTCCAGTCAGCTTTCTCTAATAAGGAGTCAATCCAAAAGGAGGTAAAAGCCACCCTGTCACAGAAAGCTGTTCTATGCTGTGAGGTATCTGATAACAAGACAGAAGTGAAGTGGTACAAAGATGCCAAGCTGCTGAGTTCCAGCAGGACAATCCATACTGAGTCAAAGGGCAAGAATCGTCAGCTGATGATTGACAGTGTGGAGAAAAAGGATGCTGGAGAGTACATCTGTGAGGCTGGGACTGAAAAGCTCACCTTCAAACTGCAGGTGGCAGGTAAGATCTTTTGAAATCATAGCATTACTTAGTTTCTATATTTTGAATAAATATCATCTGATGTTTTTTCCTTTCATGACTCCTCGTTCAGAGGCCCAATCAGTCTTCTATAATAAGGACTCTATACAAAAGGAGGTGAAAGTCACTTTGTCCCAGAAGGCCACTTTGAGCTGTGAGGTTTCTGATTCCAAGACAGAGGTGAAGTGGTACAAAGATGGAAAGCTCCTGTCCTCTAGCAAGACTATCCACACAGAGTCTAAGGGCAAGAATCGTCAGCTGGTGATCGACAGTGTGGAGAAGAAGGATGCTGGAGAGTACATCTGTGAAGCTGGGACTGAAAAGCTTGCCTTCAAACTACAGGTGGCAGGTAGGGGCAGTGCCCTAACTGGTTTCTAGTTTTTCCTCTTGAGTTATGCGCCTTACAGATATTAAACCTATTTGTTTCTGGACAGCAAAGAATTTGAATTTATTTTCATGGTTTCCATAGACACACATGTCCAATCAGCCTTCTTTAACAAGGATTCAGTTAAGAAGGAAGTGAAAGCCACCATCTCCCAGAAGGCTGTCCTGAGCTGTGAAGTAGCCGACGCCAAGACAGAAGTGAAGTGGTACAAGGATAGCAAGCTGCTGACTTCCACCAAGACAATCCATACTGAATCAAAGGCCAAGAATCGCCAGCTGGTGATTGACAATGTGGAGAAAAAGGATGCTGGAGAGTACATCTGTGAGGCTGGGACTGAAAAGCTTGCCTTCAAACTACAGGTGGCAGGTAGGGGCAATGATCTAACTGGTTTGATTCATGGGGCTTGCAGGTGCTGCAGAGAGAGAGAAATTTATCATCCATATTCATGGTCTCCTCAGACACACAGGTCCAGTCAGCTTTCTCTAATAAGGAGTCAATCCAAAAGGAGGTAAAAGCCACCCTGTCACAGAAAGCTGTTCTAAGCTGTGAGGTATCTGATAACAAGACAGAAGTGAAGTGGTACAAGGATGGCAAGCTGCTGAGTTCCAGCAAGACAATCCATACTGAATCAAAGGGCAAGAATCGCCAGCTGGTGATTGACAGTGTGGAGAAGAAGGATGCTGGAGAGTACATCTGTGAGGCTGGGACTGAAAAGCTGGCCTTTAAGATACATGTGCAAGGTATGCCTCTATGGATGTCACACTTATAATAATATAGTGTAACGTGTAAAACATATTTTAGATCGTTTAATGCAAAGGCTTCTTCACAAAAAAGTGTTTTTGTGTTTGCATTGAATACATTGTTGGTTGCTTCAGTTGTGGGATGTAGTATTTGGTTTAATTTGATAAAAAATTGTTGCAGCCTTTGAGTAGAAAATTGAGTTATGTTGTTCAAATGACCTGCTGAGCTCCATGTTTTGGTCTCTCTGGTTACAAGATCTGGTATCTTTAGCTGGTTATTTGCCAGGTTCTAGTTATCTGAGTTATCATGCATTTGCTGTGCGTTTTTGTGTGCTTTCAGTTGAACTGTTGTTTTTGTACAGGTAATTGTACTGTCACCTTACTCCATTATAGTTGATAACAAGACAGAGGCGGAATGGTAAAAAGATGACAAGCTGCCAAATCCCAGCAAAGCAGATCACATGGATTCAAAGGGCAGGATTACTTAAATGGTGATTGACAATGTAGAGAAGAAAGATGCTGGAGGTTATATGTTAAAAGCAAGTGAAAATTGGGGATGTAACATACAGGTTAAGTGTTTTAACACCTAAAAGAGAAGTACATGCAAATTATATAACAAAAACTATGTAATAGTTATTGTCATTGCTGTTATTTTAGTAACTATTAAAAGTGAATATTACAGTAACTCACTGACTCCTGAATCATCAAGCATCATACATCAATGTTGAATTTATAGAAAAAACTGTTGCAAGACAGATGATTGTCTAGGCTCTTTGTGTTGCTCTGAGTGGAGATGAGCTGAAGGTGGTGGGCACTAAGTTTGGAGCTTTCAGGTGGGGCATTGTAAAGACGTAAGAAAAAGGAGAGTACTGGAACACAAAGCAAAAACATGACAATAATCATGCTCTTATAATATTCTTTGGTTGTGAAAATTGTAATTTAGACATTATAGTCAATCAGCTGATCTGACTCGTCATTTACATAGATTTATACATTTATAGAGATTTTTTTAAATACTTTATGAAATCTTTGTTTAGGTTTATTTTCCTGACACCTGAATTGAGTAAAACTGTAACAGAAACTCAATGAAAGATTTAGAAATTTTTGTTTTTGGTTTGGTGGAATTGCAGATGTTTTCACATATTTGCATATTTTGTGGTCACGTTAGATTTTAGCTGTTAAATATTGTTCCCTGGTTTTGGCTTTGCTATGTATTTATCCACTTTGTTGCTATGAAAATTGATTTTCTAGGTTATATTTATCTCACATCACACTTAAACTTGCTACATTGCCATAACATTAATCACTGTTATTTCTGCAGAGATCCAAGTGAAGTCTGCCTTCTCCAGCAAAGAGTCTATCCAAAAAGAGGTGAAAGCTACTCTCTCTCAGAAAGCCACTCTCACCTGTGAGGTATCTGATATCAATACAGAGGTAAAATGGTACAAGGATGGCAAGCTTCTGACCACCAGCAAGACAGTTCATGTAGAGTCAAAAGGCAGGAGTCGGCAGCTGGTGATCAACAGTGTGGATAAGAAGGATGCTGGGGAGTACATCTGTGAGGCTGGGTCTGAGAAGCTGCCCTTTAAGATACAGGTGTTAGGTAAGCTCAATAAGTTGTCTCTAGTACTTTCCTACTGTATGTCAATGAGCTTTAAAATAGTCTTGTTGTGTAGTATTTCTGCCAGATTGCCTCGTTTGTATCCAGTAAGTTGAGTCATAGTTGCTTAAAGTTTTTTTGCATTTCACATTGATTGATGTTTTTTTTTGTCCATTTGCTGGTCAGAAGCCCCAGCTGGCTTCTCTAACATGGAGTCAGTCCAGAAGGAAGTGAAAACTTATCTCTCACAGAGAGCCACGCTTAGTTGTGAGGTTTCAGATTCCAAGACAGAGGTAAAGTGGTACAAGGATGGCAAGCTGCTGACTTCCAGCAAAGGAGCCCACATGGAGTCTAAGGGCAAAACTCGTGAGCTGGTGATAGAAAAAGTGGAGAAAAAGGATGCTGGAGAATATACGTGTGAGGCTGGAACAGAGAAGCTGGTATTTAAGTTGCAGCTAACAGGTAAATTTATTTTAAATATAACATGTTGCCAATGGATTACCACTTATTTGTACAAAGTACTGAAAATAAGTTCTTCTTTCTAGATTTAGCCATAAAGTTCCAGAAGAAATCTGTCAAGGACACATGCGTGGTTCAAACAAGTGAAAGCATTGTTTTATCCACTGAACTGACCTCAGAGGGCGGTAGTGTGAGATGGTTTAGAGATAGCATGGAGCTCAAGGAGAGCAGCAAGTATGAAATGAAAAAAGAGGGCCTTTCTCGTACCCTGATAGTGAAATCTGCAGAAATGAAAGACAGTGGAACGTACTCTTGTCAAACTGCGGATGATAAACTGGAGTTCAAAGTTCAAGTTAAAGGCAGGTCATAGAAAAGTCTTAAATACAACTCTCATGCATGTGCAGATGCAAGATTTTTCTTTGAACTTTTCCCTCTCATGCTTTCTTCTCAGATTCAGCTTTGAAGTTTGTTCTCCCTTTGAAACCTGCCACAGTGGAACTGGGAGGTACACTAAGCCTGATTTGCGAACTAAATCAAGCTTCAGGGGATGCTGTATGGCACCATAATGGCCGTGAGATTAAACCTGGAGGCAGGTTCTGTGTCAGAGCAGATGGTGCTAGGCGAATTCTCACTGTGACTGGCATGACCAAGGAAGATGAAGGAGAATACAGCTGTGAATGTAGAAATGACAAGACATCTGCTAAAGTCTCTTCTAAAGGTAATTAACTAGTTTAACTAAAAAAACGTCTTTCCAGGATGGAAGCCTTTTCTTTTATATAATTATGCTTTATTCCTTTCAGCACCAAGATTAGTGAGGTTGGTCACCAAACTGAACAACGTGGTTGCAACGGAGCGAAAAGATGCCGTTTTCAAGTGTGCCGTCAGCCCAGCAGACGTCAGCGTCAGATGGTTCCACAACAGTATCCTCATCGTTTCTGGGCAGAAGTATAAGCTTGAGCAAGGTGGTGGCAGCCACTCACTTACCATCACCTCAGTCACTCAGAAAGATGCAGGAGAGATAAGTGTTGATGCAGAAGGCAAAAGCTGCAAAGCTACTCTACAAGTGCAACGTAAGATAATAATGGGAATTATTGTTTAACTGTTTATATAAATGAACACATACTTCCATCTAACATTCTTTGTGTCCCTTCCAGATGAACCTGTGACTTTCAAGAAAAAGCTAGAAAACCTGACAGTGGAGGAGCAAAGCGAAGTGAGGATGGAAGTGGAGCTCAGTAAGGCATCGGATGAAGTCAGGTGGATGAAGAACAGTGTAGTGCTGCAACCTGCAGGAAACATGGAGATTCGGGTAGAGGGAGCTAAGCAGGCTCTGGTCTTCAAGAGTGTGACTTATGCTGACCGTGGCATCTACTCTTGCGAAACTCTGGATGATAAGACCCAGGCCAAGCTCAGCGTGGAGAGTAAGACTCATCAAGATTAATGTTTTAAATACAGAATATGATGTGCATAGCATACAAGAAGAAGAATGTCATTGTCATGGCGCTTGTTATCACAAAATCAGTCCTACGTGTTAACACTCTTTTCCTTTTCCCTTCAGTGAAGAAGATCCAGGTAATAAAGGGTCTAACAGAAACCAAGGCACGTGAAACAGAGACAGTAACACTTGAGGTAGAACTCAGTCAGGTCAATGTTGAAGGCTCCTGGAACAGAGACAGGGTCAAATTAAAGTCAGGGCCAAACTGCCATATCACAGCTCTGGGAAAGAAGCACATCCTGACGTTGTCCAGTCTCAAGCAGGGGGATGCAGGAATGATTTCCTTCCAGGCAGAGGGAGTGCATACTTCAGCTAAACTGATCGTCACAGGTAACGGTGGGCTCATGTTTGTCCTGATGAGGTCTAGGTTTCCTAAAAAAAATCCAGTCTAAAAAAAGTCTAATGTGCTGATTCTACAGAAGCTCCTGCTATGATCTCCAAACCTATTATGGATATGAGTGTTCCTGAGAAGGAGAAGGTTACGTTTGAATGTGAAGTGTCCAGAGCGAATGCAGATGTTAGATGGTTCAAGGTGAGAAATTATTACTGTCTGCTGATTTAAATGTGTGCAGTACACATGTAACATTTTGAATAACACCGAATCTGCAGGATGAGGTAGAACTAAAACCGGGAAAGAACTTTGCTATTCATTCATTGGGCCAAAAGCGCACTTTGGCCATCAACAAATGCTCCCCTGAAGATGGAGGCACGTACATCTGCCGTACTACTGATGATAACACCTCCGCCAAGCTCACTGTTCATGGTAATTACTAATTATGCAACAAAGTAAGGAAATCAGTAAGGTACAATTAATCTAGGTTCAGTAAAGTTTTCTGTACTTGGCCTCTTTTTCCTGCAGCCAGAGATATCAAGATCATCAAGAAGCTGGAAGATCTGGAGGTAATGGAGAAGGAGAGTGCTAAATTTGTCTGTGAAATCTCACACGATGAAGTGGAGTGCCAGTGGTACAAAGGAAACACAAAACTCAAAGCCACTGACAACATAAAGATGAGGCAAGAGGGTAAGGCCTCAAGAAATTGGAAAACCATTTTAATTAAGCTAAGCATGTAGTGCTACAGGATTTGCCTTAATAAAGATTGGGAATAATAAGGATGTTTTCACGATGATGTCTGTTTCTAATTCCAGGCAGAACTTATGTGCTGCTTTTCAAGTCTGCTACCCCAGAAGATATGGGTGAAATTAAGTTTACAGCTGAGAAAGCATCTTCAACTGCTAAACTTAAAGTGAAAGGTAAACGAATATGTGTTCTGTGCACTAAAATCGCATAACACTGAATGCATGGTTGCATGGTAATAGCTTATCAGTCCAATGCTGTTACACACCGCGATGTTCAGTGTGGCTGCAAATGGATTATTTCTTCTCACTGTGTTAAGAGCTCTTAGAAAATTGCAAACAATAAAACACACGTTTAAATTTGATGAACAGCTTGACTTCTGTTAGTCGGTTATTCTCCCAGAATGCGTCCACATCATTTACTGATACAAACAATAAAACTTGAGGAAGTATCATTCTAAGAGAGTCACCACATTGTGCCATTCTGCATATATTTATTCTTTCTATTGGTAAGATATAAAATCCATTTGCAACTTCACATTCACATTGTCACTCCTCATTGAAGCTTGATGGCAAAATGAGCACTCAACAACAGCACAGCTTTACAGTTTTATAATTTTATTCCAGAGGAAAAGCATTCTTTTCGTTTTTAATGTGTGATGGCTTATGAAGATTGGATCTCAAAATCTCCAGCAGTACAAGAATGTGATTTAATTGTGAAACAGATTACTTGTACCCACAATGCAGTATTGTTTCACCAGTGTTTTAGTCTATTGCTATGTGATTTCTTGGCAACATGCTGGCACCATAATATATGTTTTGTGGTTATAAATTAGATATTGTTAGGGCAGCACAGTGGAGCAGTTCATGGCATGAAGGTCCTGGGTTTGAATCCACCACCTGGCCGTGGGCTTTCTGTGTGGAGTTTGCATGCTCTGTGTGGCTTCCTCCCACAGTTCAAAGACATGCAGTTGGTGGGATTGGGTTAACTGGTGATTCTAAAGTGCCCACAGGTGTGAATGGTTGTCCATCTCTCCGTGTTAGCCCCAGGACAAACCTACAGGATAGCCTCCTGCCCTATGACACCTATGATAGGCTCCAGCCTAGGCAACATTATGACATCAACAATATGTGGTGTAGATAAGACTTCAGGGGCCTAAGATGCATTTGTGCCAATTTTTTTTTGATCGATTGTGAAGGAGGATTTTGTAGGCAAACAAACAGATTTTGTGTGTTATAGTAAGATGTACGGTAGCCCTGAGAGGCCAAACAGACTGCAACTTAAGAAAACACCAGCAATAAGAAAAATGCTGCAAAAGCACGGAAATAGGAAAAACGACAAAGGAAATAGGAAAAAACAGGTTTCCAAAAGCACAAGGAAAGGGTTTCTGGGGAGACAATAACCCGACGGACCAGTTGCAGGAACCAAAATATGCTAAGAATTGCGCTGGGAGACACTTAAAAGATGTGGAGGATCTATCGGTTTTGTGAGGAAACAAAAGATGACTATTAGCCTAAAAATCTGTCATCAATATTATATGAATCATGATAAAGCACACCTACAATGTTTTGGGTTCCTGCAACTGGTCCGTCGGGTTATTGTCTCCCCAGAAACACTTCCCTTGTGTTTTTTCCTATTTCCATTGTCATTTTTCCTATTTCTGTTTTGTTTTTTCCTATTTCCGTTGTTGTTTTTCCTATTTCCGTTGTTGTTTTTCCTATTTCTGTTTTGTTTTTTCCTATTTCTGTTGTTGTTTTTCCTATTTCCGTTGTTGTTTTTCCTGTTTCCGTTGTGTTTTGTGTGCTTTTGCAGCGCTTTTGTTATTGCTGGTGTTTTCTTAAGTTGCGGTCCGTTTGGTGTCTCACGGCCACCATAAAGATAAGATATTTAGTGCATCTGATTTCTATTAGTATGAAAAGATCATTTGATCCTGAAAGAGAATAGCTGTCTAGTTTTGTATCAGTTGCTGTAACTTGCATATATGGGCTAATTTTATGTTAGTGCCATTATATACTCTTTCTTTTTTCTTTAGCTTTTGCAAAACATGTTATATTTCAATGAAAGCATTAATATATCATCAAAAGCATTAATATGCAATACAATTCATATACCATCTGAAATTACTTTAACTTATGCATAGACACCGGCAAACCCTTTGCAGCACACATAATAGTTTTCATTGATTAAGTGTTATTGTTACTGTAGAGCTGCCTGTGAAGTTTGTGAAGCGACTCAGGGATAAGATAGCGATGTATAAGCATCGTGGTCATCTTGAATGCCAAGTGTCACGTGCCAGCGCAAAGGTGAAGTGGTACAAGAACAAGACGGAGATCAAACCCAGCAAGAAGTACGAGATCAAAAGCGAAGACCTGTACCGAAAGCTCACCGTTATTGATGTGGACTCTGGGGATGAAGACACGTATACCTGTGATGCCACTGATGACAAGACATCCTGTAAACTGCTTGTGGAAGGTAAAACAGTGGATTGTGACAATAGTTCATTTTAAACTTACTGCCACTGTAAATGTAAATACTTTCTCATTATATCCTCAGAAAACAAGCCATCAGTGTCCAATTCAATGAGGTGTATGCCAATCTGAAATAGTGTACTAATGGGAAATATGTGTATAATAGGTTGTTAATATGTTATCTCTCAGTTGTTCTATAACAAGCCTAACCTACTAAATTAATTAACATTGAGGTTGAAATTTTAAGATTTTTCTTAATCTAAATGAGTAACTAAATTTTAGTGCAACCTGTTTTTAGTTTTGCTGATGTGTTGAAGTTTTATGTTGGGAATTTTCTGTTATTACAGAAAAAAGGCCTTTGTGCATGTACCACCGTGTGGGGTACAGTGTATGAAGTCACAGGACGACTTCATACACTGTATGAAGATGCGTTGCTCTGGATAAATGAAAGTCTTATACTTAAATACAGTTATTTTGCATATGATGTGTGGTGTTTCCATCCTATAAAGTAAGATTTATAATTCCGAACCCATTGCTAATAGTTGGTAGCCATAATAGTTGCATACAGCCTTAAAAAAAATAAATCCCTTATATGAGCTATACCATTAAAAATTCACATATCAACTTCATTAAATATGGGCAAGCATATAAGCAGTCATATGTGTAAGGTCATTAAACTGTCATATCATATTTGAATATCATTGATGAATGTTTACACATGCTAATAGATCATCCAGACGGTTGTGCATATTTTAGCAAGTCAAGTAAACAATGTGTAGGGCTAGACCAATAAATCCTAACGGTGAATACATCAGAAAGCATCACGAGAACATACTATAAACAAATCGTGTCTGGGGAGAATATTGATGAAGTTATATATTTGCACATCAAACATATCTCTCAATGTGAAGTTTAAAAAATAAACAAGCATTAAAACAGTACAAATCTGAGGGATCCCTATCAAGATTGTTTGCTTATATTTTGTTTTGACCTTTGAACTCTCAGATATCCTTATCAACCTTAAATTCCATCAATCTAAAGCTACACTCGTTAAGTGTGGCCTCAGGGTTGGCCTCAATTTTTAGTTCATTGAACATTAACTACAAATTTAAGCAATGAGATAATCTTAATATAAAAAAGAAGCACAATTTCAACAGTATGTCTCAGTTTTTCTACATGATATAGACATGCTGTTGTAGTAAATGAAATAAATCTGTCAGCACGACTCTTTGGGCTTAAAATTGTAAGTAAATGTGTAACATTACATAATTTCTATTGTTTAATTACTTTGTTGCCATCAGGGAGGTCTTTGTCAACTGGAAACACTGTAAAACATACATACAATCCTTCTTTACATTTTCCAATGTTAAACAACGGGCTGGATTGGAGTCTTCGCCGTGCTGATTCTGGCCCCTGGACTTTATGTTTGACACCCTCGCTTTAGTTCTTGTAAAATGACTTTCATGCAAAAAATGGATGTCATTTCTTAATCCCTGGGAAAGAATGTGAAGTATTTGCAGTTGATGAATTCTTTTCACTGATCCATTCTCTTTTTATGATCCCTCCAGAGCAGTCCATCAGCATAGTGCGGGAACTTAGTCCAGTAGAAGTCACAGAACCCTTTGCAGCTGTTTTTGAAGTGGAAATCAGTATGGAACTGGTGAAACCTCCTGTATGGACTTTGAATGGAGTTGCTCTGCAGGAGGGGCCTGATGTCGAAATGGAGAAAGAAGGCACGATGCACCGTCTCACTTTCAAAAAGACTAAAGCATCAATGACGGGAGCTGTACAGTTTACAGCTGGGAAGAGCAAATCTTTAGCCCAGCTCACAGTTAAAGGTAAAAGTTTTCAGTGTTGTGTTCACACAGAAAATTCTGTATGTATACACAGAAAACTTCCATTAGATTTGAGCTGAGTCTAATCAGTCATTGTTGCTCACATTCAGAGCGCCCTCTTGAGATTGCAGAAGTTATTAAAGATGTTAAGGCGAAGGAGAAAAGTTCAGCCATACTCAGCTGCAAGTTCTCTGCTCCACCCAAAGAGGTTAACTGGTTCAAAGGTCGAGTACCTCTGGCAGCTTCAGACAAGTACAACATCAAGCAAGATGGTACACGTGCCCAAATTACCATTCACAGGCTGACTGAGGAGGACAGTGGAGAGTACCGCTGTCAGTCTGGACCTGCTGAGACCAAAGGCACACTTACTGTTGAAGGTACGTTTTCCAACTTTAAATTGTCAAAAGACTGTGTTTAAAATATGGATGAAGCCACCGTGACGTCAGCCACCTATTAGTTCCCCATTGTGAAGCCTCGAGCTCAGTGTTTTCACTATCACCATCCATTTTGGTTCCTTGAAACCAGATGTGAGAATCTGACTGAGAAACCGAGGACATTGCACGCTCTTTGGCTAAAGATTTTCAATAATAGTTAATATTGATATTAGTGTCATTCTAATATCATTCTCAAAAGACTTTTATCCAAGCAGAAGTCTCTTTGCAACCAATAAAATAAATGCAGCACTTCCACGTTTGCTTTTTATTTCAGATCGAGAAGCTACATCCATCTTTTATACAGTCTGTTTGAATATCACAGAGTTCCCCTAGCATAAACAACTGATTTGAAATATTTTGTGATTGCTCTTCAAACTGAAACTGCTGTCCCGATTCATCTGCCTAGTGCGTGAAATCAAAATCACCAAGCACTTGGCCAATACAGAAGTCGATGAAGACAGCAATGCGGTATTCACCTGTGAGATTAACTACGCTGATGAAGAAGCTCAGTGGCTTCTGAATGACAAGGTGCTCTTCACAAATGAAGTTAACACCATCGCTCATGAGGGGAAGGTTCACAAGCTGACACTGAAGAACCTGGCACCTCAAGATGGAGGAACAATCACCTTTCAAGTCCGCAAGGTCAAAGAGTCTGTCACACTCAAGGTTAAAGGTGAGAGCATTAAATACAGTTCCAGAGTTATTTGATATTTCACAAATGAGGCTTTTATTTATCCCTCAATCACTGTTTTACTTTCTGCAGAGAAGCGCGCTGTGTTCCTCAAGTCACTAGACGATGTTATTGGAGAAGAGAAAGGCATGATCACTCTGGCATGTGAGGCATCCAAGCCAAGAGTTTCCCCCACATGGAGAAAAGAGGGTAAAGTCTTAAAAGCTGGGCCAAAATATGAGCTCCTTCACACAGGCAAGTCTTTGGGCCTGATCATCAAGGATGCCACCAAAGATGATGCTGGGGAGTACAGCTGTGACCTTGGCACTGAGGTATCCAAGGCAAAGGTTACGGTCAGAGGTGTGTTTTTCTATCATTTTGTATATTTATTTGTACACACTGTTTTTCGTATATACAGTTAACTTATACACAATTTGGTTTCTGTCATAGAAATTGGTATTGGAATAACTAAATGGCTGAAATCAGTTGAAGTGAATGAGGGAGATACATGCAGCTTTGAGTGCATCCTGTCTCGTGAGAGCACAGGTGAGTGCTCCTGGACTGTCAATGGCCAAGCTGTTACAAACAGAGGCCGCTTTAACATCTCCACCAAAGGACGCAAATACATGCTCACTATTAAAGATGTCTCCCCTGCTGATGCTGGTGAGGTAGTCTTCAGTATCAAAGACTTGAGCTCCAAAGCAACATTGACAGTTGAAGGTAAGCTTGATATCAGTCTTTAAGAGGCTTTGGCAATGATTCAAATCATAAAATAAACATTTGTCCTCTTATGTTGCAGGTAAAGCTTCATCTGTATCAAAAGGACTGCAGAATATTTGTGTCATTCAAGGGGAAGATGCTGTTTTTACTTGTGAGGTGACACAGGCTAGTTTTGCTGTAAAGTGGGCCAAGGATGGTAAAGCCATCAAAAAGAGCCAGAAATATGAGCTCAGCCAGCAAGATAGAGTCATGAAACTGACCATCCATAATGTGTCTGCTCAAGACTCTGGAGAGTACAGCTGTGAAGTTATTGGAGGTGCAACCACCAGAGCTAAGCTAGAAATCAAGGGTAAGACTCTAAGAAAACTCAAAAATTGCCTTGGTCTAATTTCACAGTTCAGCTTTGATGGGATACGATTATTCTACGTTGTGTTTCGATTTTCCACACACAAGCAAATAAACACCACACACATACGTAAAGTAACACAAAGGTGCTTGTGGGTCAGTCCTTCTGGAGGCAGCACCTAGTGGTGGTTTTTATACTAGCTGGCAAGAGGACCTTTAAAAAGTATTTGTGATGATGATTTAATTCATCTGGAAAATATCCCTGTTAAAGGTATGTAAAGATAAAATGACAATTGTATTTATATAGCACATTTCATTACATGAAAACTTAATCTGTTTAACGCAGAAAATCATTCTACATTTTCTCCAGTATGCCAGCTCAGGTGTGTATAGGTGCAGGAATTAGTAATGATATTCCAAGTTGAAACATTTGCTAGACATAGAATATGTTCTGGAGTCTTTTTTAAAAAAAATTTAACTATAGATTAGTGCCGTAGTTTCATTCTGTGGCAAACATTGTCACAGCGAAGTTTCCTTTTTGCAGAGCCAATCCATAAATTCACTAAAACGCTAAAGGACAGTGAAGCAGACGAGAAGGGCTCCGTGACTCTGCAATGCACGACGGAACAAATCCCATCCACGGTTGTATGGCTTAAAGGTCACACAGAGCTCAAGGCTGGAGGGCGATATGAGATGTCTCAGAAAGATGGCGTCTTAACTCTCATGATCAAACAACTGGAGGAGAACGATACTGATATCTACACTTGTGATGTAGGCACTGCCAAGAGCATGGCCAAGGTGACCGTTAAAGGTGAGAACTTTAGCATGAATGAAGGTGAGACAACGTTTTGTTCTTACTTACATTACTACACTGCAGAAAGGTTTGAGCTAAGTTTTCTTTTAATTTTGAGATTTTATTTTATTTTTTTAATAAATTGAATCCAAAAATCACAATTTTACATTTTGTTCTCAAAACACACGGACAGTGGTTACATTGTGTTGTACCCTTGGAAGTCCACTCTGTCACTCAAGAGGAGTCACAGGAGATCAGAGCGCATATGCAAACAACTGGTACCAAACCAGCTGATACCATCCAAGGAGTTTACAAGCTTGTGGATTTTTATCTTTATGTATTTATACAGTTCTACTGTGTTTTTCTACAGTCATTTGCAGCATTTAGGTTACTGCAAGGAATTCTTTGCTTTTGTGTTAAGTGGCGTTCATATCTTTGTCTGGTATATGTGTGTTTGAGGTATTGTCTGTACATCCACAAACTGTGAATGACATTCATGAGCATGCATTGGCGTTTCTGAGTGACCATTGCCCAAATTCATTGGATTATTCTCCTTTCATTTAAGAATTTAAATTTTTTTAGTGCAGTAAAGTTTGGGTTTTGCTCCTAGATTTTAATCCACTGTTCAGAATCAGCTGCACTGTTCCAAAGACTAATGTTGGACAACTGGAGCACCTCAACTCCATCCGCCGTCCTAGCTTCCCATTATTCATTCTTCTTTACAACCCAACAAAACTCAAAGTAATTTTCCATTTTGTTTTAGCCCTGCCTGCTACTTTTATTGAGAAGCTCAAAAACCAGGAGAAAAAAGAAGGGGAGAGTGTGACACTTCGCTGTGAGCTATCAAAACCTGCAGCTGTCGTTCAGTGGAAAAAAGACTCTGAAATTCTCAAACCAGGAGAGAAGTATGACATGAAGCAGGCAGAGGGCTCTTGTATACTTCAGATTCTGAATTTGAAGATAGAAGATAGTGGAGCGTATACATGCATATGCGGGGACGAGAAGACGTTTGCAGCCTTGAAAGTCACTGGTATGGATTCATGATGTTTTTTCCAGCATAGTTTTGGAAACATTTGTGTGCGAATTTTCAAAGAGACAATTCTGTGGCCTTGTTAAAACTGTTTGTATGACCTAATTGTGATGAGTAATGAAAACATGCTTGTGCAGCATTGCCACCAAACTTCACGCAGAAGCTGGAGAGCCAGCAGGCCGAGGAGGGAGCTGACATTATTCTGCACTGTGAGCTCTCTAAAGCTGGAGTCCCAGTAGAGTGGAAGAAAGGAACGCAGATCCTGAAGTCTGGAGAAAAGTACCAGATGAAGCAGAAGGCCTCTGTGAATGAACTCGTAATCAAGAAGGTGGTGCCTGAAGACAGTGGAGACTACAGCTGTGTGTGTGGAGACCAGAAGACCACAGCCAGCCTTAGCATAAAGGGTAGGAAGGGGATTTTCACAGTTAGTCAGCAAAGTGTTTTTATGTTTGCATGTTACTGCAAATCAGTGTTTCTCAGAATCTTTCGTGTGTATTTTTATGTTCTATGTAAAACACTGGCACTGTTTTCTAATCTGCTAATAAATGTTCAGCCAAACCAGTCACCTTCAAACAGAAGCTGGAGAGCCTGGAGGCTGAGGAGGGAGGCAGTGTTACTTTGCGCTGTGAGCTCTCTAAGGTTGGAGTCCCAGTAGAGTGGAAGAAGGGCACGCAGGTCCTGAAGTCTGGGGAGAGGTACAAGATGAAGCAGAAGGCCTCAATGAATGAACTTGTGATAGAAAAAGTGGTGCCTGAAGACAGTGGAGACTACAGCTGTGTGTGTGGAGACCAGAAGACCACAGCTAGCCTGAGCATAAAGGGTAAGAGAAGATGTATTTATTTATTTATTTTTGTTTTTGTATTATTATTTTTTTATTTCAAGCTGTCACTGTTTGCCTTTTGTGTTCTATGTTTTAAACCACTTTTGTCCCCCCCCAAAATATATGTCATGTTGTGGGATATAACTTACTATTAATAAACTAATAAATGTTCAGCCCAACCAGTCACCTTCAGACAGAAGCTGGAGAGCCTGGAGGCCGAGGAGGGAGGCAGTGTTACTTTGCGCTGTGAGCTCTCTAAGGTTGGAGTCCCAGTAGAGTGGAAGAAAGGAACACAGGTCCTGAAGTCTGGGGAGAGGTACAAGATGAAGCAGAAGGCCTCAATGAATGAACTTGTGATAGAAAAAGTGGTGCCTGAAGACAGTGGAGACTACAGCTGTGTGTGTGGAGACCAGAAGACCACAGCAAGTCTCAATATCAAGGGTAGGAAGAGGATTTTCACAGAGTTATTCCATATAGTTTATGTCAGCATGCCACTGGTTTCTCAGTATTTGTTATTTAATAGTTGTATTTATTTTATGTGTATATTTGTATTTTATGTCATGACATATCACTGACTGGAAATGAACCAATAAATGCTCAGCCCAACCAGTGACCTTCAAACAGAAGCTGGAGAGCCAGCAGGCCGAGGAGGGAGCTGACATTATTCTGCACTGTGAGCTCTCTAAAGCTGGAGTCCCAGTAGAGTGGAAGAAAGGAACGCAGATCCTGAAGTCTGGAGAAAAGTTCCAGATGAAGCAGAAGTCCTCTGTGAATGAACTCGTGATTAACAAAGTGGTACCTGAAGACAGTGGAGACTACAGCTGTGTGTGTGGAGACCAGAAGACCAAAGCTAGCCTGAGCATAAAGGGTAGGAAAAGGAATTTCACAGTTAGTTGGTGCAGTGGATTCAAATTTGCATGTTCTTGTGGATCCTTGTTTCTCACTTTGTTATTTTGTATTTTTGTTATGTGATATTTATGTTTTCTGTAATGCCCTGCCACTGATTACTAACCCACTAATAAATGCTCAGCCCAACCAGTCGCCTTCAAACAGAAGCTGGAGAGTCAGCAGGCTGAGGAGGGAGCTGACATTAGTCTGCGCTGTGAGCTCTCTAAAGCTGGAGTCCCAGTAGAGTGGAAGAAAGGAACACAGGTCCTGAAGTCTGGGGAGAGGTACCAGATGAAGCAGAAGGCCTCTGTGAATGAACTTGTGATAGAAAAAGTGGTGCCTGAAGACAGTGGAGACTACAGCTGTGTGTGTGGAGACCAGAAGACCACAGCTAGCCTGAGCATAAAGGGTAAGAGAAGATGTATTTATTTATTTATTTTGTTTTTGTATTATTATTTTTTTATTTCAAGCTGTCACTGTTTGCCTTTTGTGTTCTATGTTTTAAACCACTTTTGTCCCCCCCCCCCAAAATATATGTCATGTTGTGGGATATAACTTACTATTAATAAACTAATAAATGTTCAGCCCAACCAGTCACCTTCAGACAGAAGCTGGAGAGCCTGGAGGCCGAGGAGGGAGGCAGTGTTACTTTGCGCTGTGAGCTCTCTAAGGTTGGAGTCCCAGTAGAGTGGAAGAAAGGAACACAGGTCCTGAAGTCTGGGGAGAGGTACCAGATGAAGCAGAAGGCCTCTGTGAATGAACTTGTGATAGAAAAAGTGGTGCCTGAAGACAGTGGAGACTACAGCTGTGTGTGTGGAGACCAGAAGACCACAGCAAGTCTCAATATCAAGGGTAGGATTTGTGATTTAAATCTGTATTTAAAGTATATCAAATTTTCTTTGTAATACAGTAACAGTTCTCACCTTTTGTTTTTTCAGACTCTGACTTTTTTGTCACTACACCTGTTGTTTACATTTAAATGCAATGATAATACCTGGATTAAACCGCGTGGATGATTGTCTTATATTTGACTGATTTTATCTCAACTGAAGCGCTTGTACTGTGGCACTTGCTTCTGCTTTGAAATTTCTCCGACTGTCTGTTTATTTAGTTGTTCTGTTTCTGATGGATAATGAAATGTCATTCATGTGGGTGTTACTCTATCTGTCACATTTTAGTGCATCATCAGGTTGAAACCAGTCTTCGTCTGAATTGCTTTTCTGCAGTGTACCTGCGTTTTGACAGTCTGACTTTTCCTTGAAGATTTCACTGCTTCTTCTTTTTCACTTCACCTATTTCAGGCAGCCTTACTTGTTGCTGCATTTTTGTGAGTTTTGGTTGTTTTCATCGGTGGTAGTCTTGGCACTGGATCTTATATTTATGTTGGTCTATAAACCTCTCTTGTCTACATTTCATCTGATCTGTTCTGTCGTGTTATATTGCAGTTATTGGCTCTGTTTTATGGGGTCTAATCATTCCTGAAACTCCCTTTTGTCAGATGATAGTTTTCAATTGATATATTGGTGAAGTACAGCGATCTGAAACAAAATTATTTCCTCTCAGCTGTGAAGCTGGCAGCTCCTCCTTCAGCTGCTACAGAATCTAAGAGGCAGGAAACCAAAGAAAAAGGTATGAAAGGATGATGGTGATGTAATAACATAACTGTCAGTGTTATGTTGCCCTGTCCAGCTTGATAATGGCCTCTGCGCTGCCATCTGCAATCCTCCTTTAAATTGTACCTGTATGCTGTGGCCTGTAAAATGCATGATAGATATATTTGTCAGTATGCTGTTTCCTAGATTTTGGCTGTATCGAATATTCCTTCTGTCTTACAATAGAGTATTTAGGTCTCTTTCCCTTAAGGCTACAATGCGTAATATCTATATCATATTTGTATTTCAGAATCTCTGTCTGTAGTTGCTAAAGACAAGCACAAAAGGCAAGAGATACAGTGGGACAAAAAAGTATTTAGTCAGCCACCGATTGTGCAAGTTCCCCCACCTAAAATGATGACAGAGGTCAGTAATTTGCACCAGAGGTACACTTCAACTGTGAGAGACAGAATGTGAAAAAAAAATCCATGAATTCACATGGTAGGATTTGTAAAGAATTTATTCGTAAATCAGGGTGGAAAATAAGTATTTGGTCACCTCAAACATGGAAAATCTCTGGCTCTCACAGACCTGTAACGTCTTCTGTAAGAAGCTTTTCTGTCCCCCACTCGTTACCTGTATGAATGGCACCTGTTTGAACTCATCATCTGTATAAAAGACACCTGTCCACAGCCTCAAACAGTCAGACTCCAAACTCCGCCATGGCCAAGACCAAAGAGCTTTCGAAGGACACCAGGAAAAGTATTGTAGACCTGCACCAGACTGGGAAGAGTGAATCTACAATAGGCAAGCAGCTTGGTGTGAAAAAATCAACTGTGGGAGCAATCATCAGAAAATGGAAGACATACAAGACCACTGATAATCTCCCTCGAGCTGGGGCTCCACACAAGATCTCATCCCGTGGGGTCAAAATGATCATGAGAACGGTGAGCAAAGATCCCAGAACCACACGGGGGGACCTGGTGAATGACCTGCAGAGAGCTGGGACCAAAGTAACAAAGGTCACCATCAGTAACACACTACAACGGCAGGGAATCAAATCCCGCAGTGCCAGACGTGTTCCGCTGCTGAAGCCAGTGCATGTCCAGGCCCGTCTGAAGTTTGCCAGAGAGCACATGGATGATACAGCAGAGGATTGGGAGAATGTCATGTGGTCAGATGAAACCAAAGTAGAACTTTTTGGTATAAACTCAACTCGTCGTGTTTGGAGGAAGAAGAATACTGAGTTGCATCCCAAGAACACCATACCTACTGTGAAGCAAGAGGGTGGAAACATCATGCTATGGGGCTGTTTTTCTGCCAAGGGGACAGGACGACTGATCCGTGTTAAGGACAGAATGAATGGGGCCATGTATCGTGAGATTTTGAGCCAAAACCTCCTTCCATCAGTGAGAACTTTGAAGATGAAACGAGGCTGGGCCTTCCAACATGACAATGATCCAAAACACACCGCCCGGGCAACAAAGGAGTGGCTCCGTAAGAAGCATTTGAAAGTCCTGGAGTGGCCTAGCCAGTCTCCAGACCTCAACCCCATAGAAAATCTGTGGCGGGAGTTGAAAGTCCGTGTTGCTCGGCGACAGCCCCAAAACATCACTGCTCTCGAGAAGATCTGCATGGAGGAATGGGCCAAAATACCAGCTACTGTGTGTGCAAACCTGGTAAAGACCTATAGTAAACGTTTGACCTCTGTTATTGCCAACAAAGGTTATGTTACAAAGTATTGAGTTGTATTTTTGTTATTGACCAAATACTTATTTTCCACCCTGATTTACGAATAAATTCTTTACAAATCCTACCATGTGGATTCATGGATTTTTTTTTCACATTCTGTCTTTCACAGTTGAAGTGTACCTCTGGTGCAAATTACTGACCTCTGTCATCATTTTAAGTGGGGGAACTTGCACAATCAGTGGCTGACTAAATACTTTTTTGCCCCACTGTAAATGAGATGGTAGAAGGTAATTTTCAATAGTCTCGACTTGTTTGCTAGTTTATCCTGTTTCCATTGTGCCTTTGCAGTGAATCAGTGTATGCACAGCAGCTCTTTGTTGAAAGGAGTCACAAATTAAGTAAATGAAGCCATTAGGGACTTTGTACCTCTGTGTTTGGCTGCTGACCTTTGCCAAAGAGAGAAAGTTGTTGGGTCATGACTTAGCTTAAATTGTCTTGTTGCTTTCTGGCGTAATTTCTATTTAGTTTGCTTTGTTTTTTGTGGGACTGCTGTTGATTTGCTGCTGGAAAACTGCTGTTGATTTGCACTTACTGATGTTTTGGTCTTTGTCATGTTTTTGTGGTTTGCGCTATTTTTGCAGAAAAAAAACAGCAATATTTTCAGTCTCCACATCTGTGGATTTGTGTGGTCACTAGATTATTTTGTTGCATGGAGGCTGACGTAGTATGAAGATATGAAGCTGTCTTTGATTCCATTAGCTGTTTGTGTTTCTGCTCTTGATGAGACTTGAATTACATGTTTCTGCTGCTTTACTGTGACAAATTCAAATGATGGGACCAATGTTGTGTTCAATCGTTTTAGCGGGGACATTGACAACAACTGAACAAACTCCTAAACAGGATTTTCAGGGACATTCAAGAGAGCTTAAAGTGGGAAGTGAAGGTAATGCAGTGCGTGTTTGCATGGATTTTTCTGGACACTGCAAGAGCAGTGAGAAAATTCAGTTGCAGTCTTTTAAAATGTTGTGCGCAGTCCTGTCAGTCTTTGCTTCAGTGTGTGCTCATCTATATGTACTGTGAGGTGAATGGCAAAAATACAGAATGAAGTTGGCTTTCGTTGTATGTTTTTATTGTGCCAGCTGCATTGTGTTGTGTGTTAAACAGGGAACATTTTGTTGTGTTTGTGACGCATTTTGTGTCGGATCACTGAGATAATGGTCTGAGGTGTTTTTGTTTTTTGTTGTTGCTTGTAGGTTTTTTCATTTTGAAATATTTCAGTGCTTCATGTCATCACAGATATTAACCCCCCACAACCGCCCCAAATTATTTTTACCTCCACCAAGAAGGTTTTGTTTTTGGTAGCAGTGGTTTGCGTGCCTCTGTGTGTGTGTGTCATTCGTTAGTAAATGCAATAGCTCGAAAAGTTTTGAATGCATTCTGATAAAACTTTGTAGGGGTGTAGAGTGGGGGCATGTTATCAGTCCTTTGAAAATCTCTTACATGCACCCTTTAATGTGAGCTTAATCATTTATCGGTCAGTAATCGACAAAAAAACATATCTTAGAAACTATGGCTCCGTGTGTGTGGTGTGTATTGTCAATTTACAGAATAAGAATTTAAAGTATCATACTCCTATTAATCTACTTCAAGATTAATCGATTGATCTGAATGTCAAAGTGATAATAATGCTATATAGTGCTATTTAAAGCTGTTTAAACGTCTTACTGTCATTGTTTTTATTGACAACATATAGGGAATGATATATGGAGATCCTAAATATCGTGTTACATCTGATCTCTTTTTAAGGCTAAATAACAATAAAATAACTGAAATACATGTGGATACATTTTATGAAAATAACCAAAAAATCTTTAAAAATTATGCTTAAAATTCTAATGACTTTGTTTGGATCGTATACATTTAGGAAATGATACCCGTATATGGGGATTGTAAATCACATTATAGTTTGCATTCAAATGTCGTGTCACATTTGACCTCTGACCTCACTTTTATGTGTCACATTTACCTTTATTTCAAGTTGACCCCAAGATGTGTTATATTTTTCAAGACAATACTGTCAAGAGGACGATAATGAGCTGCCTTGATAGTTGGAAATATAATAACTATCTAATAGGATGATATTATAAAATAAGGTCAAATTATTAATGTCCAGTTATTTACTCTTCCTTTATTTCCACTACCTACCCCTACGTGTTTGTGTAATCAGAGTAAACATCTGTCCTGCTGTCCTTATCTGATTTATACTGCACTGATTATTAAAGTAGCTTTAAAAAGAACAAAGAAAACAACATGAAATTACACAAAATACAATAATATTCCCTTAAAATAGAGACTAGAGAGTGTGCTGCCTTGGTGGAGGTTTGTACTCTCTGAGAACTTCGGATCACATAAGAATGTGCGACATTCGTGTTTGTGTCTGTGCCTTTCTAATTCTGGCTCTTGTGTTAAAGTTACGCTAGAACTCCAGTTGTAAGATTATTGTGTTTTATCCCAGCTGATAAGCCTTTTGCTGGAACCACTGACAAACCAGCTACCCAGCGACAGGGGACCAAAGAGCAGCTCGCGGGTACGCAAAGACTTGACTTTTGCATTGACCAGCAGGTTTCTTGCTGTACAGTACACTTTATTGCTACATTACTCTCATTGTTAGTTTTGCTGCATGCTTGTGTTTTCGTCACATTGTTTGGCGGATTGAAATATGTTTGACTGTAGCTTGTCTGTGTGACTTTTTTAAAGTTAGTTAAATTGATTTCTAAGGTTAAGTCAATTTAAAAGCAAACAATTCGATGTTGTCTGAGTTTTTCTAAAGAACTTCAAGTCTGAAGTTGCACTTTGGATATTTGTAAATCATTCACTGTTGATTTTTATAGACTTTCTTCTGTATTTTACTAGTTTGTTAACAAGCATTTTCTCTTATTTATCCTAAACATCACCATTCTTCTTGTGTTTGTTTGGTACTGTGTTTATGACTGAAGGTAAACCTGCTGGTTTTGATGTCATCCCTCTGCTACAGCTGGATACCAGAGCGCTGGAATGAAATTAGTGGCACTGTGCTTTCTTTATTCTCCTTGTTTTGTTTTTATTCAGCCGAATTGGTTGTTACTCACTTGTTATTACCTCTGAATACCAGATTTGCAGAATTATCTTCTTGTTCTTCTCAAACAGGAATAGTTGAGAGCTGTATTTGACAGACTTTTACGTGCTATGTTTCGAATAGGCAGAGGTGTACCTGCCCTGACTGTGTATCAGTGTTATTTGTGTTTGTGCAATAGAGCTACCATATTGGATGCTTTTTATATTTTCTATTTTTGTTTTTAGTAGGTTAAAAATTATATTTTTATACCAAACTAATCTTTTGTTATTAAATCCTATGGGTTACCATAATACATACCAACAGATTATTTTATCTATTTAATCCCAAGTTCTTCCAGTCATATTCATTCGAGACCTGGAGAGCCAAGTAGCTGAAGAGGGAGGTAGTGTTACCCTGCACTGTGAGCTATCAAAACCTGGAGTCCATGTAGAGTGGAAGAAAGGATCAGAAGTCCTGAGCTGTGGAGAAAAGTACCAGATAAAACAAAAAGGATTCTGTCATGAGCTGCACATTCTTGATTTGAGGCCTGGAGATACAGGAAGCTATTCGTGCTCTTTAGAGGATACAATAAGCTCAGCATCTCTGGTTGTAAATGGTAGGATGAAGCTATCGCATGTTTTCTTCTTCTTCCAACAAGTCCTTCATTTGTTACTTCATTTCTCCTTTCTTCATCATCCCTGTTCCTTTTTGCATAATTACTCCGTTTTCCTTTTTTTTGTCCATCAGCTCTTCCAGTTATTTTCACAAAAGAGCTGGAAAGCCAAACGGCTGATGAGGGTGACAGTGTCACCCTGAACTGTGAACTATCTAAAGCTGGTGTTCCTTTGGAGTGGAGGAAGGGAGAACTTGGTCTTTGTCCTTGTGCAAAGTATGAAATTAGACAAAAAGTACACCTGGCTACACTAATAATCCATGATGTTGACTCAGAGGATTCTGGGAGTTACACATGTGATGCCGGTGATCGTCGTAGCACTGCACAGCTAGCTGTGAAGGGTATGCTGTTGTTAGTAGTTTAAACATAGTGGCAATAGTGACTTTTTGGTTGATCTTTATTAGAATGTTGCTCGAAATATCTGACTTGACCTTAGGGTTAATACTCTAAACTCTAAACTAAAGTATGTAGCTTTGACTCCAACTTCTGCTGCTTACTTCTTCACATGTGCGAGTTGAAGGCTAAAACTTGGCCCAAGTGTATTCATTCTTTCATTTCTCCTAAAATATTTCCCTCATTTTTTCTCACTTTTCTACAGCCAAGCCTGTCCTTTTCAAAACCCAGCTACAGAACCTTGAAGGACAAGCAGGAGAGAGCGCCTGTCTTCGTTGTGAAATCACAAAGCCGGGGGTCAGTGTGGTCTGGAGGTGTGGTGATCGGGTGCTGGCATCCAGCAGCAAGTATCACCTGAAGCAGGAAGGGACTGTAGTTGAGCTTATTATCTACAAACTGCAAGGAACTGACTCAGGAGAGTACTCCTGTGATACAGGCAGGCAGAAGACTTCAGCTGTCCTCACTGTGAAGGGTAGGATTTTTTTCTATTTAAGACTCCTCCTCCCATGCACTCTCTTGAGCTGGAGCCCAGTCATCCTTCATTTCCAACATACTCCCTCTTATTGACCATCTTCTCACAGAGCAACACTTGAGCATGAAGTGTTTTCAGTGTTCAAGAAAACTTGCTCGTCTCATATTCCGTAGCACCTCACTCTTTTGTGCACTTCTTGTTATTTGTATGCACTTTTCTCTTGAGCTCAATCACTGATTTCACCATTTGAGCCTTTCACATTTCTGTCTTCACAAATATTAACAAACACTACTCTGTTTTCTTCACTTGGCACTGGTAATTGTAGCTCAGCAGAAATCTTCATAAATGATCAACTTGAACTTCACCAAACGTTGTGTGCTTCTAAACTGTATTTGTCAAACAGAGGTCAAGGTTAAAGTACTGAAATTCTTGGAGAGCTGCGTTGTGTACGAGGGTGAAGATGTCTGCTTTGAGTGTCTGGTTTCTCATGAGGAGGCACCAATGGCACTGTGGAAACTCCAGGATGTCCCTCTGCAGAATAATGAAATGAACCTGATCAAGGCTGAGGGCCGGCTGCACAGCCTCACACTCAGAGGCGTCACTACAGCTGATTCGGGGACAGTAACTTTCACTGTGGGAAACCACACTTCCACAGCTTCTCTGACAGTCAGAGGTAAGGGAATTGTAGGCAATGTATTCCTTGGGAACATCTTCCAGTTGGCTTCTACAATAATTTTGGGACTATCTTCTGCTCATTTGCTGTCAGTCTTCTTGTTTTTGGATACTTTCTCTCTATTTTTTCAGAAGTTCTTAAAAGCAACAACTGTCTTGTTATCTTTTCATCTTGCTATGGCATCTAAAGAAAATTCTCACTTTCCATTACATTTCTATTTCCAGAGTACATGCATGCTTACCTTACTTTCCATTGAACTTGGAACTAATAAAACTCTTTTACTTTTCATTTTAGTACTAAAATAACTTATTGGTCTTGTTGATCAATGTGTTTTCATCCAGTAAATTTTTGTACATCACCGAATGCTGTTATAACTGTTGTTTTACTTTTCTTCAGTTAAGCTGAAGCTGGAAGTGTTGAGTCTTTGACTTTTTCATGTTTGGGGTTACTTGGATTAAGGATTTAAGACATGCACCATGCACCACCAACAGCAAAACTGTTCTGATTGTTGAGTTTTTTCTGATTAGTTGTATTTGTGACTTTCTTTAAACTTATGAATGGGTGGATTGTAGGTCTCCTTGGAGCACATTGATTGATTGTATGTAAATTTTGGAAGGACTGTGCAGCCTCGCTGTGGATTATAGTGTGTTTTCTGGTGTCAGTGTTCACTTTCTAAAGTTTTAAAGTCATCGTAATGAAATTGGTGTCGTTAAGATTCAGTATTGAGGAAGGGTACAAGAGGTGATCGAAGAATAACCACACCGATCCGGCCGGGTGAAGTCAAACGATGATTTTAATGAATACACGCGTGGGAAGACACTCTGTACGCAGACAGCCAGTAGTCCTCGACTTAATCAAAGCATGAACAGATATTTTATAGCATCAGGGTTTGTTTACTGACGCCCCTTCATACGTCACAGACACATTTTATACATAGATCAAATCAAAACCACAACGACTTTTGACACCGTTTAAAAGAACAATTGTCTCCTATCTTCACAACAGGTGCTTCCTGTCACTGCCGGATGCTCGCAGCAGTTCTGCGACAAACTGCTCTTTGCAACATCAGCAAAACATGATTAAACTTTCACCTATAAATGATTCTCTAACTAAGTGTGTGTCTGCGTCTGTGTGCTAACCACAATTGCACCCTGTTTCACCTCGCGACTAGCTCCTGACCCTCACCAGACAGAGAGACAGAAACCACTCTCGTATATGTAATAATCGAACTGAAACTATGGATATGACTTTTACTAAATAAATGTTTTAATCACGAACCCCTACTTAACATAATAACTGTGTGCATAAGCATCTTAAGGCCTTCTTAAAGCTATCTGTTACATTGTTAAAGCAATGATCATACTGTTGCTTAAAATAACTTCCTGCTTGTGCAAACTCTCTGCAAGCCTGTTTCCTGTCAGCCTGTGACTTTTAGCCTTTCTGAAAGACACACACTGTTCTACCCCTGAATGCAATATCCATGCTGCAAATTATATTATTAATGCAATGACAATTATTTACCAATAGCAGTAAAATAATTTCCCTCCTCGACACTCCCCTTTTGACCTCTGGAAAACCAGAGGTCACAATACATTGTGTCCTCACGCAGACCCTTCTCTGGTGGTCTCGAACCTCGAGATCTCCAGGATCCTCGCCCCTCCTGTGGTCGCCGAGATCTTCTGCAAAGGAAACAAAACACCTTTTCTTGCATCTCCCTAACTTATCCTATCTGAGACTCTTTAATCAAAAGCCTGATCCTAATTATCTTCTTAACTTATTGACTTGTATTTATGTATACTCTTCAACGTTACTCATCCCTTTAAAACTCTTTAAGCCCTGCTTTCACGTCCGGTTGCTCGCTCTACTTTCCCTCATCTGATCATCAACATCCTGTGCACAAATTGTCGCTGCTGCAAGTTCCTCTACTCTAAAAGAAAACAACCACTTTAATCAATTAAGTTTAAGCATATAAGCAATTACTCCTGTATACATTTCATCATAGGTAAATGCTGCCTTGAAACAACTCCTATGTGTTAACTTCATTTTAACCTCACATTTCCTATGTTATAACCCATTTTGGTATAGCCTTTTTATTTCATTTTGCTCCTTTAATGTAACCATACCTTCTAATCTTCTAATTCTAATTTATCAGACTTAACCAAAATATATGCTTTCCTTCCTCTTTGGTCCTTTTTAAGTTCAGTTAAAAGCTAAATGAATTTAAGGCCTTTTGCCTGGAATCAATACTGTCATGTGTGTTTCTTAACTCTGTGTCTGTAAGCGTGTGCAATCCTTCATGAACTCATATTATCCTCACAGTAGATTGGCTAATCATAGCGCTAGCCAAAGGCTCGTGACCCTCCAGAGACAAATTTGAGCCACAACTCCTTTAAAAGCACAAAATGCAATATGTATAAAAATCATTTCTCCGTATAAGCTCCCCTTTATCCTAAAGATAAACCTATGTAATATCTGTATGTGTAAGCCTACATTATAACCACTTCTTCTAAAGATCAAAAAAAATCAAACCTGTTCTACTCCTTCAACCCTCACTAATTTTCCCTCTAAGATTTATTCACAGCTTTGAAAAACCGGCATTGTATCTTCTAAACAGGATTCAGTTCTGTCATGGTCCTGGGCCATGTTGGCCCAGTATTCTTGGTTCCTTGTATTTTCGCTCCTTATTTAGGCCAGGTTTTCTCAGGTGTCCTGTTGTGGTGTTCCCTAAGTGTTTTTTCCCTTCGTGACTCTTGCCCCCTTGTGCCCCTCTGTGTATTTATGAGCGCTCGTCTCTCTTTGTGTTTATTCCATGTTTCCCCCAGCCTGTTATGTCTGTGTTCTCCCCGTGCTTTCTCTCCTCCTGTCTGAACCTCTGTGTACTTCCTGTTTTACTTTGACAGTCTCTCGTCAGTATGCGTAATGTTGTGTTCACTCCTGCCCTGTCTCGTTATGTTTATCAGTATCCCCTGTGTTCCCCACCTGTGTGTAATCTCCCTGTGTTCTCTGGGTGTATTTAAGTTGTGTCTTCTGTTATGGTAGTTGCTGGTTCGTCTGTGTTGTTTCCCCTCGGTCTCCCTGCGTCTCGTTTCTGGTTTGTGTTATTAGCTTACCCAGTTTAGGTTTCCGGTTTCTTGTTTTTCCACCGTTGTAAATAAATATTCACCTGCACCAGAGCTGCCGCCTTTTGGGTCCTTTTCTACAACTCCACACGGCTTGCCTCGCAAACCGTGACAAGTTCACTTTTAATCCTTTAACCTTAACTTAAAAATAACAGTTTCAGTTTTACCATATCCAAATGATCAAAAACCCAAAAGGTCCTGAAATGATCCTAAATTATTAAACAATTAAATTATTAAACCCTAAACCCCCTTTATCTTGATACATTTCATGTGTCAAGATACTATACAAAACTTAAAAATGCTCAGTTTCCCCACTCATGATCCAATGTATGTCATAAAATAAACTTAAAACAGAACAGTTATCAGTCATGTGTTTCTTCAATTAATGGTAACTGAGTTACATCAAAAAATATTTCCCCTTTAGCATTTGACATTCTCCCAACAATATACTATAATCCCATAATCTAACCCCAGTCAACAAAACAAAACAGAAATTTTCTCTGGTAAAAACAAATTGTTTATCCACATTAATTCATCCTCACTCACATGCAGTCACACCATGTATTTGCTGATAGTGGAGCTTCCCGCACGATCAGATACTCCACCCTCAGCAAAATGAGCTCCGTCATTTTTTATTTTCCATAGGAAAAAATTTCTTTATGCTTTTGGACTGGATTGACTCGCATAAAATCCTTTTTACAGGGACTTACGACCTGAATAGTCCCCACAGGTAGCTCTCCTCAGCCAATTGTAATCTGGAAAGCCCCCCTTGTATTTGCTCTTCCCGATAATTTTCAGCGCCGTTATTCACTGTTGCAGGCCTGCTTAAAACAGAAATGAAAAATAGAGCTGATTGTTAGCTCATAAAAACAAAACAAAATCACCTGACAGGTTTCCTTTAAGTGCACTGTTACAAAATAATGGGCCCCTCCCAGACATGTCCATGTTTCCTAAAACTCCCTCTATTAAAAACAAAAATAACAACAACAACCTAACTGACAGAATCAACCCATCACCACAACAACCTTAAACACACAAGTCTTGCCACCACATAATTTCACCTCCTCAATACACCAAAAGTCTCATTAAAACCACACAATTTGCACACAAAAATCACCCCCTTATGCTCTGAAATTCAGCATAAGACCCCTTACGACATCATATAATCACTAAACTATAAATTCCCTACCCCAATCTGCACTTCTCGTCTCTGCTATGCTTCCTCTTCCTGAAAGTCACAGTCACACACACACACAGGAAATTCCTTCATCACCACTCACTCCAGCTAATTTGCATACTGAGTCATCTCTCAAAAAGCTGTAACAACAGAAACATATGTTTAAACATTCCCAACTTATTAAATTATGTTATTTCTTTCTACAGTGATCACTAGTGTTGATCACTCAGTACGAGAGCACTCCTAAGTCACTCTTTTTAAAACTACTTTAATCCCTTTTTTGTTTTCATAACTCCCTTTATCATACGGCTTATTCTATTCCTCAATTACAAACTCAAATGTATTTTATTAAACATTCACACCATTGTATCATTCATACAAAATAGCAAGCTGTTCTTCATTGCATATGTTTGTGTTCTTAGCCAAGTTTAATCTGTATCTATGCATTAATCTCGATGAGCTTGTCTTGTCTTCATAAAGTTAATGCATTTTCTGTTTGTGTATGTTAATTTGCATATGTTGCTTTTGCAGTGTGTCAGACTCCTGCACAATTCTCCACTTAAGCCGTCAGTTTCTTTCCCAAATTTGCTAACCCAAATTTTAAGTTCCCACCTTATTCCTGCTCCTCAGCCAGAAGTTAGGGCCCACTTGTCAGGTTTATGGAGACATGGCGCTGTGAACAATTCAACCAGAAACTTGCCTTGGCACGTCCAGTCAAGTTAACCTACAGGTCTCTTCCGACCGCTGCACGTGGAAAATTGATCCAGATCTGTTTCGCCCCTATAGAAACACAACTGAGACATTTTCATTATTATCATAAGTACTTAAACTACCCGTTTCCCTTTCTCTGGTCAGAAATCCCAACTTATGTCATGTATATACGTGTAAGCAGGTCTTCATTGCTTTTCCTATGTATTTTGTTCAGTGAGTGTAAGCTGCTTTCTTCATTGCCTCTGTATGTTATAATCAGGTTTAATTAATACATCTTTTCCCTGATTTCTTAATTCAAAATTATCTCACTTCTGATTCTTTCCAGAAATAATTTCACATGTAACACTTTGTGTATGTGTGTTTTCTATTCTTGTTTACCCCTTTTTCTTTGTGACGGTGGACATCTCTAAACCATCATGAGTTCAAGCTTCACTTTCAGTCCAATTACACCCTGTACTCTCACAGTCGAAGTCGTCCGGCTTCACCTCTCACCGGTCACTGTCCTCTTCTCTCAGTGTCCTTTTGTTGTCTTGAATTCCAGCAAACACAGTCTGTTTCTTCTCTGTTTCTCTTCAGTATTTTCCTTTTGGATCAAGTCCCAGCCTGGCAAAATACCACATTCAGTGCTTTTAAACAGTCATGTCACACTGTTCTTACCAGCCTGCTGTCCACCGTGCATGTTTCATCACGTGGTTTCTTCTTTTCTGTTGATCCTCTCAGTCATCTCTTTCAAGATTACTCCAAGCATGGCAAATCTGACAATCAGTGTCCAGTGCTTTACCACCGTTCATTATCCCACTGTTCAACTGCCCAGCCTGTAATTTACAGTACATGTTTCCACCTCGTGGTTCCTTTCATGCTGCTGCTGGTGTCGTCAGTGTGGTTTCCGTTGCACTGTCTTTTGCCTGCTATTAATTCTTCTCAAGTCCACGATGTTCTGTCGGTCTTCATCAGGAGATTAACTGTCCTTTGAGCTTCTTCTCAGGATGGGGACAAGTGCGAGGTCAAGCTGTAAAATTTTAAGCCAAAATCTGGCCTGTTTTCTCCCAATTATGCTACTCTAGTGGTTTTGGCGCCGTACTCAAAATTCCAGGTTGAGAGAAGTCCACCTTTATTTATCTGTAATCTGTGTTAACACACTAAAACATACAATTAATATCCTTTTCATTTCTTTTCTCAAAACCTCCATTCGCTTTATCTGCCTAGAGTTTAACTCATCTGTTTCTCTCTCTGGGTGCTCACTCGTCACCTTATATGGGCATGCAAACTTCCTGTCACCCACACCATTTCCTGTTACACACACACAGCACGCAGCTGCTCTGCTGTTTCTCCAGGCTAATCAAACTTATTTTGTATTTACAATCTACAAACCCTCTGTAATTCTACTAACTTTTTAATCTAAAATGTAGCATCATTCACACAATGATTTCATAATCCTCTCACACACACCTTTTAAATAAACTAAACTCTTATAACATCACTCATGCATCTCTAAAATTAAAAACACTTTCAAACTTTAAAACATCCTACTTTACATCACCAAAGAAATACCTCTCACACCTTTATTCATCATGTCAAAGCTTCTAGTCACCGCATTCACACAAGAAATTGAAAAAATAAAACACACCAGCAACTATTGCTGGAGATAAGTTACTACTGAAAGTAATATGTTAGTCTTAATTCTATACAGTGCCCTCACTATATTTATATATCTGCATCCAAATTCAGTCAATTACTATACATCCCCTACGGCAACTCAAAACTTTATTTATAGTCCTCTAATAAACATAAATGGCATTTGAAACACACACTCAACAATGTTTGCAGCAGTATTTGTAAAACCAACGGTGGCTTAAACAGTTCACTGCTTACTCATTTGCATTTTCACTCACACACACCGTCTAAAAATAGCAGCAGCATTGCCTCAGACTCCTTTCACACAGAGATCTCTTATTTTACAAAGACGTCTTATATTTACAACTACTGTCAGATCTGTCAGCTTTAGCGCCTAACCAATTTAGACAAATTTAAAATAACCGCCCACCAATTAACCAGTATCAAGACTTTAACTGTTTCTGGCCTCATTTCTAAAATCCCTAACTCAATTTAAAAGCGTCAACCAACCCAAACTTTGCCTGAAGCTCTATTTTTGGCATTTCACAGCCAAGGCTTACCCCGAAGTGTTAAGTTAAAGTTACACGCCCGAAGACCAACTTCTCCTGTCCAAAAAAGCGCAGGTACCGTTGCAAACGGTAAGGAGACTCTAACTCCTAGCTATTTTGGAGGTTCCCAAGTTCTCCCCGGTTGCCAACCGTACTAACCCTATTCGCCGATAGGTCAGGGCCAAGCGTCCTTGGCCGGGAGGGAGCATTACCTCCGAGAACTGCGCTTCCTAGCAGACTCTAACTGCCGTTCTAGAATAATTTATAATACTTTGAAACAACAATCAACACCCAAAACAAGTGTATAACTGAGGCAGGTGCAACCTAGTGGTCAAATGGAGACTCCAACTCACAAAATGACCGCTCAGGTCCACTCTTATGACCAAATTTGGACTCTAACCAACACAATAACAAATACCCTACCAAACTACTTGAGACTCTAACTCAATTTCTTTGGGACTTCAACCCAGTATTTAACTACTTGAGACTCTAACTCAATTTCTTTGGGACTTCAACCCAGTATTTAAACTTTTCCTGGCAGACTCTAACTGCTTTAGCAGACTTTACTGCTTTCATTTCTTCTTTCTTCTTAGCAGAACTCTAACTGCTTCAACTCATGAGATTTTTCATCAAAATCAAAACAGACATCCACCAGTAACTTCAGTGAGTAGACTTAAATTTTATCATGTCCAATTTGGCACACTTTGGAAATAATTCAACAGGTAGTGCCTTACCTTTTGGATAAGCCGGCTTATGCCCACTCACTTAGACCACTGGAATTCATGTCTGCCCGTCAGACCACCCAAGACCCCGGATTTCTCCGTCCAAACCTCCAATTCTCCCTCCTCAATAACCGGACGAAGCCCCCAAATGTTAAGATTCAGTATTGAGGAAGGGTACAAGAGGTGATCGAAGAATAACCACACCGATCCGGCCGGGTGAAGTCAAACGATGATTTTAATGAATACACGCGTGGGAAGACACTCTGTACGCAGACAGCCAGTAGTCCTCGACTCAATCAAAGCATGAACAGATATTTTATAGCATCAGGGTTTGTTTACTGACGCCCCTTCATACGTCACAGACACATTTTATACATAGATCAAATCAAAACCACAACGACTTTTGACACCGTTTAAAAGAACAATTGTCTCCTATCTTCACAACAGGTGCTTCCTGTCACTGCCGGATGCTCGCAGCAGTTCTGCGACAAACTGCTCTTTGCAACATCAGCAAAACATGATTAAACTTTCACCTATAAATGATTCTCTAACTGAGTGTGTGTGTGTGTGCGTCTGTGTGCTAACCACAATTGCACCCTGTTTCACCTCGCGACTAGCTCCTGACCCCTCACCAGACAGAGAGACAGAAACCACTCTCGTATATGTAATAATCGAACTGAAACTATGGATATAACTTTTACTAAATAAATGTTTTAATCACGAACCCCTACTTAACATAATAACTGTGTGCATAAGCATCTTAAGGCCTTCTTAAAGCTATCTGTTACATTGTTAAAGCAATGATCATACTGTTGCTTAAAATAACTTCCTGCTTGTGCAAACTCTCTGCAAGCCTGTTTCCTGTCAGCCTGTGACTTTTAGCCTTTCTGAAAGACACACACTGTTCTACCCCTGAATGCAATATCCATGCTGCAAATTATATTATTAATGCAATGACAATTATTTACCAATAGCAGTAAAATAATTTCCCTCCTCGACAGTGTCTCTGGCAGCTGCACCTGTAGTATTCAAGAAGGAGCTGAAAAGTCAAGAGGCCAAAGAAGGTGGCGAAGCCTCTCTGTCCTGTGAGGTATCAAGCCCTGATCACAAGGTGACCTGGTGGAAGGGCTCAACTCTTCTCACACAGGGAGAGAAATACACCATGGAGCAAAAAGCAACCACTCACATTCTGATCATACACAAGCTGATCATGGAGGATAGTGGGGAATATACCTGTGATACTGGAGACCAGAAAAGCACTGCTACCCTGACTGTAAAAGGTAACAGAGCACATCTTCATCTATCATCTGTCTGTGTCTCTCATTTCCTTTCCTCTTGTCTTCATCCTTCCTGAAGTTCATATTCACCGCATTATCAAGTACTGGAGAAAAGTGTATCCTCTACTCACAGCTAATTCTCTTGGATTCACAGATTTAGAGAATCCAGTGCTTTACTGGAATTATCTGATTTTATTTATATGCATTGTTGATAGTTTAGTAGCTCTAGGGTGTTAAAAAACACCACATCTGGGAATGACATGTTGAGTAAGCATATGCCCTCATAGTCATGATGTCTGGAAGCTCTGCACAGAACTGATCTCTGATCTCTCATCATCCATCATCCCATTCACCCTCAGAGCATGTGCGAATCATTCGAGAACTCTGCGACATTACTGTGACCACTGGGAAAGACGCCGTCTTTGAGGTTGAGCTGTCACACTCTGGTGTCACCAATGGGGAATGGTGGCTTTCAGACAACCTGCTTCAAAATAATGATCTGAATCAAATGAGCATTATAGGGAGAGTGCACCGCTTGGTCCTCAAGATGGTAACCACGGATGAATCTGGAGATGTTGCCTTCGTGGTGGGAGAAGAGAAGAGTGTGGCCTGTCTTCTGGTGGAGGAGAAACCCAAAGGTAAAGGAGATGAGAGTTTTCACCCTCAGAGCCATTTTCATCAAAAACCACAAATTATTATTATTCTTTTTCAAATCCACTGGCATTTCACATTTTTTGTATTTTCATTAAATATATTTTATAGTATTTATTAATTTTAAAGGGCTGATAGAGGTACTTTAGCTCAACAAAGCAATACTACTGTAAATTGTATGTTTTAAAACTGGGTAGTTTCAGATATATATAATGTAGTTCTGCAGCATAGTTATTATTGTGACTGTATTTCCCATTTGGTGAGGTAATACATTTCTTACATTAGTCTTTGGTGCCCAGCCGTTAAATTCTGTATGTAATTGTCATCCCTGTGCTTGTTTATTAGTCTAGCTGGACATGGATTTAAAGTAAATTTGACTGCTTGCTAGAAACATACAAACACAACACAATAATTCTACGTTTTTTTAAATTGTCATATTATTTTATGTATAATTTGTGTTACAGTAGTGCACAGAAATCAAGAATGAAAGCATAATGCCAGTGCAGAATGGAAAAGGTTGCATATAAATGCTACTTGTCCTGTATTTACAGTGCTAATATTAGAGAAGCCACACAACACTGTTGCATTAGAAGGTGAAACGGTCACTTTGGCCTGCACCATCTCTGACCCCAGTGGTAAGGTTACATGGATCAAAAACAATGTGGCCCTCCAAGCGGGTCTCAAGTATGACCTGAAGAAGAATGCAGCATTTCATCAGCTTCGTATTCACAACCTGGTGGCTGAGGACGCCGGAACGTATACCTGCGACACTGGGGATGCACAGTGTGATGTCACGCTGACTGTGGAAGGTAAAAACATTGGATTGAAATGGACAACTAAAATATTCTTGAACGTCCACCTCCTTCAACCACCCAGTATAGTCTGAAGCCCTCAGGGATGTTTCTCTCATCATCTCCACTATTTGACATCGAACTTGCCATCTCAATATGTTATATCAACTTTTCTTACTTTAAACTCTCACCAGGTGCCCCAGTCTTCTTCCAGACAGAGCTCAAGAACCAGGATGCCATAGAGGGTGATGATATTACTCTGCACTGTGAGCTCTCTAAGCCGTGTGTTTGTGTTGAGTGGAGGAAAGGAGGATTAGTCCTCCGGCCTGGTAAGAAGTATGAGATGAGACAGTCAGGGTGTATTCAAGAGCTCTGTATATGGAATCTGGAGCCTGATGACAGTGGCTACTACACCTGCGATGCAGGAGACCAGCTCACTACAGCTTCTTTAGCAGTGCAAGGTAGCCTCCCATTCAGTACTGTTGCAGTTTTTCTTAATTGTGAAACTTCTATCTGGCTCATATGTTGTGTGTTTTTTGTTTAGAGTTGGCATTATGATGATTATGAGTACATTTAAGGCTCAATGTATTCATATTTTCCACTCAACAGCAAAAGAAGTCTTCATTGTTTCTGGCCTTAAGTCCACCGATGTTTTTGTTGGCGAATGGGCAACTTTCTCCTGCCAGCTCTCTGGTAAAGCCCACGGCAAGGTGCAGTGGTGGCTGGATGGCAGCTTGTTGGAGAACAGCCCCTTTAGTGAGATAGGGCTGGCCCAGGGCCACATCCACACACTCACCTTAAAGAACCTGGCCACAGATGACTCTGGCACTGTCACCTTCAAAGCTGGCAGTTTAACATCAACAGCCAAGCTCTTGGTCAAAGGTATCATGAAAATGTTAACTGCAGACTGAGATAAGCTTTTTCCCAGAGACTGAGATAAAACAGTCTCTTTTAGTCTTATACAATCTCTAAGGATCCTGCAGTGTTTTAATTCTACATTTAAAATCTTAATGGGTCAATTTTCCTACTTCAGTATTCCTTATTATTTTGAATTAAATAGTAGAAGCAGGAAACTAATATATTTATGTTTTCTATCTAATAACTGGCATTTACTACAAAAAAATGTGCCATTCTTAGTGAAGAATATGGGGTTATATACTATGAAATATAATCATATTTCATATATAATCATATTTTTTACTGCAGGGTTCCATCCAGCTATTTGACATATTAGTGCTCCATCATGCATGAGAAGCAGTAGTTTGCATTTCATTAATAATAAGAAGTTATGTTTTATGCAATATGCTTTGATATAATCTAAAAAATACAACTGGGTGCAGCACCACAGTAAAGCTTTAGGAACCTTTTCGACTCAATTAACTAGTATTAAAAATGCTGCTCTTCTTTTGAATGTAGGGCTGCTGAAATGATGAAAAATAATAATCACGGTTATGTTTCTCACTTTGAAACACAATCAGATTTACTAATTTTGTGGAGCATTGTTATACCTTAAGAAGTACTTTCTGATGCATCATCATTGACGTGTAAACAATGAGTATAATTACACAATAGTGAAAAGGACAACTAGAGAGCAACTTGCAATGGGATCACACAAGCCCCCACACCTGGTCTGACTAAATCTAGCAACGTTGTGACAGTTTTGTTGATAAAATCCTTTACAAACGGATATAAACACTAGTTTTCTAATGATGCTAGCCTTATATTGTTCACATTCAAGCTACAGTAGACAGACCTCACTTTGAGCCTGGTGTAAAACAGAACACAAAAGGATTGATTCAGAGTGATGCTCTGGTCTAAAACCTCTCCCAAGGAGGTGATGTTTTTAGAGGCATTAGTGTGCATGTGTGTTTCCTACAAGGTCAGTAGATCAATCTGAGGGTTAAAGTGACAATAATGATATATATGGAGGTATTTAAAACTATGTTTCTTACTGCCATCATTTGTATTGTCAGTATATGGGCATGTGTGTGCATTGAGTTCTTCTTCAAGATAAAATAATGTTGAAACTTAATAATGATAATAATGTATTTTATCTTTAAAAGTATGCTTTAAATTTTACTGCCTTTGTTTGTATTGACAACATTTGGGAAATAATACTGGTATATGGGGATAAAAATTTTTAAATACAACATTATAGTTTGCATCCAAATATCATCTGAAATTTGAAAAATTATTCTCAAAATTATATCAAGTGTGTTAAAAGGATTTTAACAAGGGAGGTGTCCAAAAGTACTTCTAGAAAACAAAATGAATATATACAACATACAGTACTACTCTCTTGAAAAGTAAATACTGCCCAGGTTTGGACTCTCGGAGTGCTTCTTATTAGTTTAGTCTTCATTGTGAGTCCCTTGTGGTTTAGTCAGTCTAGCTATCAGGCTAGCTGACCTTTTGGCTGGTGGGTGGTGTTTCTGGTCCACATCCTGTGACTTTTTGTGTTTGATTTTCCTGCTTTAACATCTTGCCGGTTTTTTCATGCTCAATTTAAGGTTATATGCCCAGATTCAAGCTTTAATTACACTCGTATCTATACAGTATACTATTATCCATATTCTGACTGCAAATGTTGTAGCCAAACAGCTATTAAAGTTGTAAGCAGCTCCTTTTAACCATGCCTTCAACAACAGGGAAGGGAAGACCAATTAATACAAGAATGCTGAAAACAAGCATCATCAATCTGGGATTTCTTCATTCATTTTAAGCTTTTTTTAAGCATGATCGTGATTATTACAATGTTAACCTGCAGCCCTAACTGTAAGTATCCCTCAGTAATATAAATAAGAAGCCTGTCTTATTTGATGTTTGGATTCAGTAAAAAAAACAAACATAATCTAGATCTGGCTTGTTAAAGTTCACAGATGGTGAACCAGAATATTGAAATGCTTGAAAGAAAGTGCTGCTCCACCCATCCATACAGGCCGGCTGCTCTCAAATAGTCATGCTCTATTCATCTCCTCTGTCCCATCCTACCAAACCCTTCTTCTAACCTTCCAGCATTAAAATCTCTAACTCTTGTAGATACACTTTGAGTTTGGCATTTCTATCTACTATCACTCCCTTCTTCTCTATGAGCTGCCAGTAAGTCTTGACCCTTGGTTGTGAACTTTGACTGTTGGACTTTTTGACCCCCTGAGAGCTTATGTAGGTTAATGCATTGGACGATTTGAAAATACATAAAAATATACATAGAGTATTGGTACCTTACAATCAGTAATTTCAAAATAGTATCACTCACATATTTACACTCAGACATGCTTTTGGGGGTTATAAAGCTCTTATGTCAGTCGGCATGGCCCGCTTTTATCCTTACATCTCATGGCCAGGATTTGATCCTATGATCCCCTGACCCCAACCTCAGATCCCACAGTTGAAGTGGTGAGCGAGATGGAGGACCTTCGGGTGGTTGAAAACCAGCCGGCTGAGTTCATCTGCCAGTACTCAAGACCAGTGAAGGCTCAGTGGAAGAAAGATGGGCAGCCTTTGCAGCCTGATGGCCGAAGGGTGGTAGTGGAGCAGGACTGGAATGTGGCTCGCTTGTACATTAGCCATGTGTCTGCTGAGGACAGGGGCACATACTCCTGTGAGGCAGAGGGGACCTGCGTGGTCGCTTCACTTCATGTGGAAGGTGAGCTTCCCTCCACATGGAAAAAGCACCAGGCTTTAGGGGATCTTCTCTGCTTCTTCCGAGAAAAATGTCTTTGGAAAAAAAAAACCAAAACAGGCCTTTTACTCATCATCACAGCATTTTTGCTCTTGGTTGACAAAGGCTTAACTATTTTACTTTTGTCTTTGAGAACTGCAGTCCTTTTATAATCTATTATAATTAAGTTACCATGGTTTCTTGCTTTCTACAGCCAAACCCATTACCATTGTTCAGGGCCTGGAGAATGTGGACACTTTTGATGGAGGCGAAGCACTCTTTGAGTGTGCCCTGTCTCGTCCTGAGAGCAAAAACTGCCAGTGGCTCCTTGATGGCAAACCACTGAAAGAATCCCCGAATGCTGAGGTTGTATCATTCGAGAGCGGTCGTCGCCATCTGCTCCTGCTGAAAGAGCTGCGCGTCAAAGACAGTTGCATGGTGACTTTCAGAGCTGGCGCAGCGTCCACATCTGCCCAGCTCACTGTTAAAGGTAAGTCATCAAAATGAAGACTGTACAACAGTGAAGCTGTAGTAATATTATGATCTTGACTTTAGTCAGCTGTGAATTACGACTTTTTTGTGGATTTTTCCCATGTAAGGTTGGCAGTTGGCCATTGTGAAGGGTTTGGAGGACAGAGTGGCTGCAGTGGGGGAGAAAGTCGAGTTCTGTGTTGAGCTCACGGAGGTGGTCCCTACGACAGAAGTGGTCTGGTATGCTAATGGAGTTGAGCTGAAGCCCAGTGACCTCTGGGCTATGAGGGCCGATGGTCGGTCTTACCGCCTTGTCCTGAGACAGGCGCCTCTTTTGCCCCAGCAGGAAATTACATTTGCTGCCAGAGATGCTATCTCTCTGGCCAAGCTCACCATCATCAGTAAGTGTTTAATGTCTATGTCTATGTCTATGAAAAGATTAACAAATATCCCTTTAAACCTGTATATAGAGTTTACTCCAATTTTTTGTAATTCTGAGTTTCAACCAGGGAGCGCAGAACCAGAATTAAAATTTTGGACAATTCAGGGTATAGTAGGAAGCTAAGGTAATAAAAATCTTTTGAAGAAGTATTGAGCAGGTATGGCATACCATCAAAGCTTCTTCTTAATACCTCCAACTGTGAAGTTTTATATTAGCTAGGCAGTTCAGTAGTAGTTTGAAGCTCTCTTCTTTATCCACACTCACAAAGGGGAGGTCTTGCTCCTCCCCTTTGTGAGTGTGGACGCTTCATCTCTTTGCTCTTGAATGCTTTGCTTCTTATATTGATTTTTATTGATTTTTATGCTGATTTTTTCCCTTTTTTCCGTGTGAGCTTACCTGCGATAACTTCTGGACACTTGTAGATCATTAGGACTAGAGTGTTCTTAACAGAAACAGCAACATTTTACGGTTACCTTGTCCTCAGCGCTCCGTGTGTCTGTGGCCTAGACACAGCTGAAGCCTGATTACAGCGTCTGAGCACCGAGCAGCCTCAATAGCCTGGAAAGGTGCTAACCGCTAGGCTAACTAGCAACAAGATGCCTTCCCTCTCCACAGATGACTACCACAGCCTCCTGCAGAAGATTGCAGTACTGGAGACAAAAATTCATCGCTTAGAAGTAAACGTGGAGGTAAATGGACTGTGTGGAAATGAAACAACCTTGCCTTTGATTCAAAACAATGGCGATGAGCAAGCTAGTACACAGCTAAGGAGCACAGATAACATGACCAAGAAAGTAGACTCTGTGCATTATTATAAATCCTCAAGTGATAATCCCCCCTTAGACTGTCTTGGTGCAAAACCAAGACATAAATCATGTCTCCTGGAAGGGGGAGGACGTATCACAGGCAGGGCACAGCGAGCTGAAATCTCTGAAACCGACTGGCCTTCACTTCCTACGAGACAGAGAAGCTCTTCTACCCCTGTATACGGGAGGAAACAGGACTGGACAACCGTGAATAGGAAGGTTAACAACAAACCTCCAAAACAACTGAATGTGAAACTGCAGAACAGATTTGCTCCACTATCAAAGGACCCTGGATCTATATCGGACAACCATCCATCTAAAAGCAGCGAAATAAGGTCTGAAAATCTGTTGAAAAGTGAAAGGCCACAGGGAACGCTAAAGGCTAGGCCTGAAACTCTGATTGTGGGTGACTCTGCCGTAAAGGATGTACAAAGGATGTGCGGCAAGAACACTAAAGTCCTCTGCTTTCCTAACGATATGGTCAACAACCTGAAGGAGAGAATTCTTCAAATTGCAGATGAATATCCAACTGTGACAAACATTGTTCTGCATACAGGGTCAAACGATGTGTCCAAACAACAGTCGGAGGTTCTGAAACGGGACTTTACTGGATTATTAAATACTGTAAACTCTCTGAATGCAGCTGTATTCATCAGTGGACCTGTACCGCCGGTCAGAGGAGGAGACGAGAGATTCAGCAGGTTGTTTACACTGAATAAATGGCTTATATCAGCATGTGCTGACCACTCAGTGCATTTTATCGACAACTTTAATATTTTTTGGGAACGCAGGCATCTGTTCAAAGCAAATGGATTTAATTTTAACAAGTCAGGGGTGAAACTGTTCACCTCCAACTTGTTTTATTCCATACGTCATCCATCCGTGCTTGGTGCCAAGGCTGAGATAAACGAGGAGTTATCTCATAAAGAGGAACAAACAGTACTCCAAGAACAGACAAAGCCCAGCAGAAACCTTGAGGAGGAGCTCCATTTGCCCCCACCCGGGAAGAGCCTCAGAAAGGAGAGACATCCATGGCATCTGAGGAAGAGCCTCAGAAAGGAGAGACATCTAAGGCAAGAAGAGGGGTCCCTATTTGCCTCCAACTCTCTCAACAACACCAACGACCAGGACAAGGGACCACGACCTTCCCCAGTCCCCCAAACCCCTGACAGGCCATCACCCTCCTCCCCCTCCCTTTCTCCCTCCTCCCCACACCTGAAATTCACTGAGGAGATGATGGAGCGGGTCAGTGCTGGGCTCAGATCTACCCCCCGTCCCAATCCCTTTTTGTCCCCCATGTGTTTCCAGAATCACTAAAAACTGCTGTAATCAAACCTATACTGAAAAAGGACAATCTTGACAAGACACAAATGAACAACTACAGGCCGATCTCAAATCTCCCGTTTTTAAGTAAGATCATTGAAAAAGCAGTTTCTCAACAGCTCAGTTACTTCTTAAAACAGAATAATTGCTACGATGCCTTCTAGTCAGGTTTTAGACAGAACCACAGCACTGAAACCGCTCTGACCAAAGTGTTTAATGACATATGTCTGAATACAGACAGTGGAAAAATGTCAGTCCTAGTTTTACTGGATCTCAGTCCAGCATTTGATACAGTTGACCACAACATATTACTCAAACGACTGGAGAACTGGACAGGTCTTTCAGGAACTGTACTAAACTGGTTCAAAACATACGTAGAAAACAGGAAATACTTTGTATCAATAGGTAACTTCACATCCGAGCAGACAAGTATCACATGTGGAGTTCCCCAAGGTTCCATCTTGGGACCCCTTCTGTTTAACATCTACATGCTCCCACTGGCACAGATTATAAACAACAACAAAATAAACTATCACAGCTATGCAGATGACACACAAATATATATCACAATGTCACCAGGAGACCGAGGCCCTGTACAGGCTCTTGGTAAATGCATTGAGGAAATCAATGACTGGTTGTGCCACAATTTTCTCCAGCTAAACAAAAACAAAACTGAGGTAATAGTCTTTGGCGCCAAAGAAAAACGATTACAGGTCACCAGAGAACTTCAATCTATACATCTAAAAACCACAAACCAGGCGAGAAATTTGGGTGTAGTGATGGATGCAGACCTAAACTTAGAAAAACACATTAAGACAATAACAAAGTCAGCTTACTATCACCTCAAGAATATATCAAGGATAAAAGATCTGATGTCTCAACAGGACCTGGAAAAACTAGTCCATGCATTCATCTTTAGTAGGCTTGATTACTGTAACAGCATCTTTACAGGTCTACCTAAAAAATCAGTCAGACAACTACAGCTCATTCAGAACTCTGCTGCTCGAGTCCTCACTAAGACCAAAAAAGTGGACCACATCAGTCCAGCTCTGAGGTCCTTACACTGGCTGCCTGTCCGTCAGAGGATAGACTTTAAAGTTCTGATGCTGGCCTATAAAGCTCTGAATGGTTTAGGACCAAAATACATCAATGACCTCCTGACCCAGTATGAACCATCCAGATCCCTCAGGTCATCTGGATCCGGTCTTTTATCAGTTCCCAGAGTCAGAACCAGACATGGAGAAGCTGCATTCAGCTTTTATGCTCCTTATATCTGGAACAAACTCCCAGAAAGCCTCAGATCAGCTGAAACACTCAGTTTATTTAAATCCAGGTTGAAGACTCACCTGTTCTCAGCTGCATTTGAATAAAGCACCAAATCCACACTTTAAGCTTAAATTTCAAAACTTACATTTTAACTACTGATTTTATCTACTGTTCTGATTTTATCTGTTTTGATCTTATATACTGTTGTTTGTTTGTTTGTTTGTTTGTTAATTAGTTAGTTAGTTTATTTGCTTGTTTAAATCAATTTTAAATCATGCTTTTTATTTGTTCTTGTTTCTAATGTCTCTGTAAAGCACTTTGAATCACCTTGTTGTTGAATTGTGCTATACAAATAAACTTGCCTTGCCTTGCCTTGCCTTTATCCACCACTGAAGATTTCACTTTGAAATTTGTACAGTCTAGTGGCCTGGTGTCCGTCTTCAACAACATGTTTGCTAGTAGGTACAACGTGTCATTTCATAACATACTACATGCCACTAGTATGGAGAACAGATTTCAAATATTATGTAAACAAGAAACAATGGTCAGAAGTGTGGTCTTAAGTTCCAACACAAACTAAAGCAATATAAATGGATAAATAGGCAATGCATTGCTCCAACAAGGCTGTGTTAACGCTAATACTTTCAACATTTGCATTAAATGTAAGAATCTTTGTTCCCACTTTATGTGGGAATGCCCTCTGATTCAATCTTTTTGAAAAAGGCTGCTGGAAATATGTAACCAAATTTCTGAGTAATAGATTCCTCTTAATTGTAATTTATGCTTAGTAAATATTTATCCCAGATGGTGCTGTGATCTCTAAGAATATCAGGTCCTTACTTAACTTCTGCTTTTTGGAAGCCAAACAGTACAGAGCTTTCTCTTTGAAGAAGCAGCAAACCTGTGCAAATTTACAGCGGCCTAAGACATTCTTTAGAAAAGATAAGCTATCTAACAAAAACATGGAAAGTTCTGGAGCATTTGGAACACCTTCCATATAACTTTCATAACAGATTAACACTGTAGAGTATTTGGTTTTTAATTAGTGTTCATAAATATATCCAATGGCGGTTTTTCTTTTTCCCTTCCCCATAGCTGTGCCTGATCCTCCAGAGGATCCGGAGGTCCTCAGTAAGACAAAAAAGTCTGTTACCCTCTCTTGGTTCACACCTTTGCATGATGGAGGAAGTCCCATTCTGGGCTACAGAGTGGAGATCCGAATGGTAGACAGTGCCCTCTGGCTTCCATGTCATTCTGAGCCTGTGCGTAACACCGAATTTGTGGTTGAAAATCTCAGTCCAGGCAGTGCCTACAGGTTTAGAGTGGCAGCCATCAACAGAGCAGGGATAGGGGAGCCTGTTGAGCTGCCTCAGACTGTTCAGCTTGGTGAGTGAATGTACGCTTCACTTAACACAAGTAGCTGCTTTTTTCTGTGATGTTGTGTTTATAATTGCAATTGCAGTTCATGTTTTATGTCACATGGTGATATGAGATCAAGCTTTATGCAACTGCAACATTCTAGCCAAAGATGTAATGCTAGAAACCAAGGAATTTTGATATTTTATAAACTTTAATATCATTTGTTTTTCTTCTCTTCTTGAAACACAGAAGCACCTCCTCTGCCACCGATTACTCCAGGTAGGTCACTGTACGCTGTATATGTGGTACTTTTTGTATTTCTCCACAAGCTCTGCTGTAGCCCTAATGTAGCCCTGCACATAAATGTTAAACGTAAGGATTAAGCACCAATTAAAGAGGGTGTGGTGCTGTATGGACCATAACTGTAACTCCATTGTGGTCATATGTGTAGATGCAAAACAGGAAGTAACTGAGGCACTGGGACAGCCCAGTCTTCCTCCTGAGGCTGCTGAAGAAGGTGATCTCCATGAACTTTGGGAAGCATCAGCCAAGAAACGACGCATGAGTCGGGAGCCAACTCTGGACTCCATCTCTGAACAACCAGAGGAGGATGGCAAAAGGGGTCAGAGCAAATTAGACCAGAATCAGCTTCCACAATCTGAGAAAGTGGAAGTCAAATCAACAGAGAAGGAGCAGGCCATTGTGTCAAAGAAGCAGACAGAAGCCAGCCTGTGCACCAGCTCTGAGGACGAGTCTGTTTCTGGGCGTTCGACGCTTGTTTCCTACCTCAAAAAGAGCAGCAAGACTACTGAGACAGTGACAAAGGAAGCAGATACTCTAGCTACTGAGAGGTTCTTCGCACATTTCCAAATGTCAGAGCAGAAAACTGTGCAGCAGACAGAAGTGAAAACAACTGTAGTTCAGCAAACCCAAGAAAAACACGTGTCTACAGAGGAAACTAGCATCATGGAGATCGGTAAAGAGGATGACCCTGAGCTCAGAGAAGCTGCTGTTAAGATTCAAGCTGCCTTCAAGGGCTACAAGGCCCGCAAGGACATGCGTCCTGTTTTTAAAGAAGTCTTCAAAGACCAGACTAAAGAACCTAATGGCACCATACATCTGGAATGTGTGACAGAAGGTAAACCTGATAAGGTCCGCTGGCTGAAAGATGGAGAACCACTGACGGATGGCAAGCATCATCATATTGATATCTATAATGATGGCACCTGCTCACTGGTCATTACTGCAATCACCACCAAGGACACTGGAGTTTACACATGTGAAGCCACTAACAAGTTTGGGGTAGCTTCTCACAGTGGTAAGGTGACTGTGGGAACGGTAAGAGAATCATCGGGCCGACGGCCGCTTACTGTAGGTTACAGTGCTGACAGTGAGCCTGAGAGCTCCTCCGGAAGTGAGATGGATGAGTCGCTGAGACAGGCAAGCAGACGCCTCCGGCGCCTGTTGCGCACGCGTCTCCCACCAGATGTTGAGGAAGAACCATTTGTCAGTGCAGATGAAGGAGACTTGCGAGCCCCAGACCCACAATCTTACCGTGAAGATGACAATTATATCTACATTCGTTTTGATTCACGGACAGAAGCTGAAGTTGCCTCTATGAGATTTCAGGAGATGTTTACAGTCCATGGGGTTCCTGTGGAGACCACAATCTTACCTGCAGGACCTCACAAAGTGGAGCTGCGAATTAAAAAGATGAGCTACATACAAGATGGTACACAGACGCCCACACAAGATAGACAGCCTCCTGCTTTCATGACTGGAGCTCCAGGTAAGAAGCAGCTTGCTCTCTGTTAATTATAACTTTCTTTATTCTTACACACATTTTGTCTGGTTAGTAATGCACCAAGTTCAATACACCAAGAACAATTTCTATGTAAGGGGTGGGATTTTTATATTTGCTTTCCGTTTGCTCTTGTTGCCAGCTGCACCGGTCTTCTTAACCGAGCTACAAAGTCAGGATGTTCCAGACGGTTATCCAGTCAGCTTTGACTGTGTTGTGATTGGCAAGCCACCTCCCACTGTTCGCTGGTATAAGGATGGCAAGCTGCTGGAGGAGAACGACCATTACATGATCAATGAAGACCAGGAGGGCTGCCACCAACTTATCATCACCACTGTGTTGCCTACTGATATGGGGGTCTATCGCTGCACAGCTGAAAACAGCAGTGGCATTGCATCTACTAAAGCTGAACTCAGGGTTGACAGTAAGTGAACAGATGATACAAGAAACACACGTTTGCTTTTTAAATACCTGTCCTGGGATAATTGACTAGGCAAACTGTACAGCATCTGTACATCTTTAATGACTTAAAAAATGAGAATTTGGTGCACAAATTTGAATTTATTTTGGACACCAAATTCTTGTTTTTTGAAGTCATTGAGATGTATGCTGTACATCATTCCACCCTGGAAAAAGAACAGTTTAAAGAAAGCATGAAATGTGGCGACTGTGGTTTAGAGGGTTGGGAAGCTTATCTTGTAACCAGAAGGTTTGATCCCCAGCTCTATCTCCAGCTCTATCTGTTTTGGACAAGACACAGACCTACTGCCCTACTGATGATGGCCAGAGGGGCCGATGGCGCGATATGGCAGCCTTGCTTCTGTCAGTCTGCTACAGCTGTAGCTTGCCTCCACCAGTGTGTGAATGTGAGAGTGGAATTGTAAAGCGCTTTGAGGGTCTCGAAAAGGCTATATAAATGCAATCCATTATTATTGTTATTATTAAAAGGGCAAAATTACTACAATATTCATGCCCGTAAATGTATGCAAACTTCTGTATAGCTTGTTTTTTTAAAACAGAAGAGAACTTCAGACAAAGTCAGAGCAAAACTAGCATGCAGAATATGTGAGATGGACCTTGAGCCTCCCCTAATATAAAGGCAGGTTTCTCACCCTGCCTTTATATTAGGCAGGGGTAAAAAAACAACAAAAACAAACCCACAAAACCTACAGCTATACAGATGTAGCATTTAACTGAAGCATGAAGCTAATTTCCGAACCATAAATCAACATCTTAGAAAAGCAGAGTCCCTTTACACCTTAAGCATTGTATAAAACTATAATAAAATTCCTCCATCAGTGTCTTGCAGCTCAGATTATGACACTGCTGCTGATGCCACTGAGACGTCTTCTTACGTCAGTGCCAAAGGATACATGTCCAGGTAAATTTATTTATGTTTATTTATTTATTTATATGAACTAAACCTTTATATTGAGGCCTTCACATACAGTTATAGATATACTGGAGCTGCTGTGCTTTACTCTCCTCCAACAGGGAAACTGAGACCTTTGAGTCTGTAGCTGAAGATGATCAGCTACCGCAGGTTGTGGAGGAGCTTCATGATGTTCACGTCTGTCCAGGTTCACCTATTGCAAAGATGCAGCTTAAAGTAAAGGGTAAAGTAAAGATTTGTTAATCCATCCCAGTGTTCTAAAAACATTGCATATGATTTAAGAATAATGTTTGTCAAATTTTTGTTGTTTTCCAGGTTTCCCGAAACCCAGAATATACTGGTTCAAAGATGGCCACCCTCTACGACCTTCAGAAAGAATTCATTTGTTAGCAGAGAGAGACGTTCATGGCGTGGAGATCACGGAGGTGAAAAAAGAGGATATGGGGGAGTACTCCGTCTACATCAGCAATGCAGCTGGTTCTGCTTACTCCTCTGCCCGGATGATAGTATTGAGTATGTATACACGTGCCTGAATACAAAATACAAATCTCAAATGAAACGATGAGATACACTTTATACATTTGCAACACTTTTTGCAACAGGTCCTGGGGAGATTTTACCACAAGAGAAAAAGGGTAATTTAACATTTATCCTACAAACCACAGCACAAGTATATGTACTTTCAGTAGACATGTCCATATATTCAAAATGTCACATTATACACTTTATTTTCACAGACCCTAAAGAGCCCCTGGTGCCACCCCGCTTTATTGAAAGGTTCAGCAATAGGAAGGTGAAACAAGGAACAAGCATCACTCTGTCTGTGAAAGTAGAAGGTGCGTTACTACACTTTTCTAGATAAGAAGAAAGTCTAGATTTTGGGCTCTATCTGCCACGCATCATTATTACAAAGTCTCCATAATCACCCTTCTTCTCTCTTAGGATCTCCTACTCCCATGGTCAACTGGCTAAAGGAGGAATCTTTGGAGGATGTCCTGTGGATCAAGCCTGACACTAAAGGATACAAAATAGCAAGCTCTGGGCGCCACCACAGTCTCATCTTGATGGACGTGGGCACAGAGTACACTGGTGCCTATACCTGCATTGCAACAAATAAAGCTGGACAGTCCATCTGCACTGCTCACTTGGAGGTGGATGAGAGTAAGGAGAATAACGTCATCAAGACACTTTATTTTGAAATGACAGGTTAAATGAGTGTCTTCTTATATCAGAAACACTTAGCAGAGCACTTTTCAAACCACCCTTCTTCTTTTTTTCTCCCTCCTCTCTAGCTCCTCAGCCCAAGAAAGAGACAGTGGCTTCAGAGTAAGTTATTTTTGAAACCTTTTGATTGCCTTGCACATAAAAAGATGTCTGTAGTAAGTACATTTAATATAAATGTAAATACATGACAAATTTTAATACTGAAATCCGCTCAGGGTTCTTGGGATTACAGTTAGTCCTCCACAGGAAGATACTAGCAAAGGAAAAGGTAAGACGTACTAGCTAATCATCAGGCCCAGTAATGTTTATTTTTGATAAGATATATAAATGAATAAAAATAAATGTTAAGATATTTATGGTGTTCTTTACTTTTTGCCAACCCTTAAGAGGGCAAAATGCCTTTCCTAGGTGAAGTAGGTTCAGAGGAATTCCTCATGAAACTCACCTCTCAGATCACTGAAATGGTATCAGCCAAGATCACCCAAGGTAAGTGGACCATTATAGCTCTGCATTAAATATTCAGAGACTAATGAGTTCATCGTACTTTATAAAATACAAACCTTTATGTCCATAAGGCATTTCAGAACTGGTCTATTCCGGCTTCAAGTCTGGTTTAAACCAAGATAAATGAATGATTATGCTAGCATTGGACTTTAGCTCCTTCTCAACAAGTCTCATAAACAGTTTAGATTAAAAAGAAAAAACCCAAAAGGTTTCACCTCAAGAGAACATACATTCTCAGGAGAACAAACATTAAATTATATGACTTGAACGATCACAACACCTTCAATCTCTTAAATTACCTTGTGTCTGTAGTTGTACTAAAAATGTGCAGGTTAACTATCCATATTCCCTCTGCAGTGACTGCATTTGGTAGTTACTAATGCTGAAGACTGAAGTATGGATCATAGATTATGTTGCATACAGTGCTTCTGTTGCATTGCTCTGTTATTTTCTTGTCAGGTTTGGTTGAATTCTATGAATTCATTCTGGCTGTTTAAGAAATGTTTAATCCGAATGCTTTAATGCTTAAATACTGAACTGGCTATCACTTTCCTTTGTTTCTGAACACCAAACCTGACCGAGGAATGTTTCTTAGTGCCATGTTAGTGCTTATCTAGTGCACGCTTTAGCTTATTTATGCATTTATGACATAAAATCTCCCATTCCTTCATACAGACATCATTTCCTAACCACCTTTACACCCATTAGTTTATCACTCCCACTAAATAAATACTCATTAAATGATTAATTTGTTATTCAGACAGTTTACAGAATCATGAAGTGCTCCAGTGGATGAAATCTTGGCCCAAATCTGCCAGTATGTATCCCAAGTGCATCAGCATCACAGATACTCTGCAGTTTTCCACTGAAATATTTTCTATCTATTAATAATGACTTTATAAAACAGTTTTCCTTACATTTCCTTTTACATACAAGAAATATTTAGTTATACATACAACAACTCTATTTCAGTGTCAGCTTAATAACAGCTAAGCCATCCCCTTTTATTTCTATTAGTGCCCTCTATATCTCCTTACTCATCCTCAATGAGTTTCCTCATCCTTTCTCTTGTTACTAAAATAGTTTTTGCAATAACCTATGAAGCTTCTGTATAAGTGGAATACATGCTCACCAAGCAGACATGTATGTGGAGAGCTGAGATAGAAGTGAAGCTGCCTGTTGTCATGATACTAATACAGTAATACATGTTAGAGCATTAGAATGATTAACCACTGTGGATTTCTCCCCTCTATTTTTTGCATCGTAAAAACGATGTCGTTACTTCAGTATACAGAAAAATTCAAATTGACCAGGTAAATACAACACTGGTACACGCTAGCACACAGTTATGGTTTTAAATATATATTTAAGCTGATGGACCTGAGTGAGTGTGGGTACTAATATCTACTGCATAGGTTTAAAGGACAGATTATACTAATTGGACATTTTCGTGCGACTGACCCGTCCTCTTTTGACTTCCTCCTTACTGCTCCAGCTTCATTACGCGTACCAGGTGGTGACAGTGATGATGAGACCAAGACACCTTCTCCATCACCTCATCACGGTCGCTCCCGTCCTCCCTCCCTCATTGCTGACTCCTCCTCTGAGTCTGATGAAGGAGACGCCAGGGGAGAGGTGAGATACAAAAAAATTTCCATTAAGTTCATAATGTTCATAAATTTTTGGCCTTTATATCAGAATTTCATCGATTAAATTCTGACACACCATGGCAGGATACTATATAAAACAAGGAAATGAAAGTTTTAATGGTGCAGTTTATTTGAAGAAATAAAGGGAAATTCAATTAAGTTTTTTTTTTATACATAGACAGGTGTGAATGGTTATGTCTCTGTGTGTTAGCCTTGGGGCAGATTGGTATTCTGTTCTCACTTAGCTGGATAGCTTCCAGTCCCCCTGCAATCCTGTTATTAATACACACACATATATATATATTTTTTTTTATAGATGTTTGATATCTATGTAGCAACAGCTGATTACAACCCCATCGTGGCGAGCAAAGATTCCATCTCTCTAAAAGAGGGACAGTATGTTGAGGTTTTGGACTCGGCTCACCCGCTCAAGTGGTTAGTTCGGACCAAACCCACCAAAACGACACCATCCCGCCAAGGCTGGGTCTCACCGGCCTACCTGGACAAAAAACTCAAAGTATGTCTCAAGACAATTGCTTCCAGCTTGCCACTGCATGTTGCACGCATTGGGTAATATTTTTTTTAAAAAAATTAAAATTTCTATTACAGCTGTCTGCTGATGCTGGCGATCTTCCAGAAACAAGTGTGGAAGAGGTGTCTGAAGGAGAATACAAGAGAAAATTATTGTAAGTGAAGCATGTTTGTCGTGACAAAGCAAACCAACCAAAGAACCATAACAAACTATTAATTCGTGCTTCTAGCCAACTGATCCAGGAACTGATAAACGGAGAATCAGAGTTTGTCAAGGAGGTGGAATTCTTCACCTCCCATCACCTGAAGCATGCAGACAGTTCTGATGCACCGCCTGACGTCACCAGCCAGAAAGAGGCTATTTTCAGAAACATTGATGATATCAAATCCTTCCATAACAAGTGAGCTCACCTCTTAAATGTTATTTTCAGCCATTTTTTAGTATAATCAGTATGCATCATTCTTATGATTTTCTTTTTAGGGCATTCCTTCCGAAGTTGAATGACTGCGACACTGATGATGACATAGCCATGTGTTTCCTGAAGAACAAGGAGGGCTTTGAGAAGTACCTTCAGTATCTTGTAGGTCATAGTCAGGCTGAATCTGCCATCAGTGACAAGACTGTGCACAGCTTCTTTAAGGTAACAGCAGAATTGTTATTGCTATACTATGAATTACAAATGTGCCAACTGTTAAAATCTTTTTTTTTAAACTCCAAAAAACAGGAATATACTGACACAGCGCAGGCTAATTCAGACCCTGCAGATCCACCAGTAAGAAGCATAAATGCCTATCTCCAACAGCCACTGGAGAGGATTCAGAAGTACAAGGCCTTCCTGAAGGTAATAGAGTGCATGCATACAATCATCTTAGAGTCAGTTATTTACTTTTCAGTCATTTGCTTTTAGAGCCTTTAAATTATGTACACGATCAGTGTAACTTCAGTTTTGTTGAAATTTCTGCTGCAACATCTTCAGGAGCTCATTCGAAACAAAGCAAGAAATGGTCAGAACTGCTGCCTGCTGGAAGAAGCTTTTGCAATGGTGTCTGCACTCCCTCAGCGTTCTGAGAATACCCACCATGTCTCCATGATTGAGAACTATCCTGCCACCCTCGAAGTTCTTGGAGAACCAATTAGACAGGTACCACGTAGCTGCCGACTGTGCAGGGTCTTGATTACACATAAGCATTTGACTGTCTGCATATGCTTACTCTCTCCCACCAGGGGCCTTTCCAAGTGTGGGAGGGTGCTCCTGGAATTAGAACGTCCTCTAGAGGTCACCACCGTCACGTCTTCCTCTTTAAGAACTACTGCATTATCTGCAAGCCCAAGAGAGACAGCAACACTGATACACAAGCATATATTTTCAAGAACATGATGAAGGTAAGTGTTTTTAACATAATCTAGTTTCATCTTTTCTTTCATGGTCAGCGGCCTAAATGATGTTTGTTGGTTTCTTTATCTTGTTTCAGCTGAATAACATTGATGTGAATGAGACAGTGGAGGGTGATGACCGTGCCTTTGAGATTTGGCATGAGCGCGAGGATTCTGTGAGGAAGTACACCTTACAAGCCCGAACTGTTACCATCAAGAACTCGTGGCTGAGAGACCTCAGAGAACTGCAGCAGCGATACAGCATGCCTGCATGGAGTGAGTGGGACTCCATGCAGTTTTACTTTTTTCTTTACCTCTCTATTGCTTGGAATTTCTAGCACAGCTTTTTATACCAAACTATTTTCTAGGTTCCCCTGATTTTGATGAAATTCTGGCAAACTGCACAGCAGAGCTGGGCCAGACTGTTAAGCTGGCTTGCAAAGTTACTGGAGTACCCAAACCTGCGGTTACCTGGTACAAGGGTGAGGCATTTCCTCTATGGTTATTAGCCATGTGGAGTGACATTCAAAGACTGTTTCATGAGTGGTTTTGTTTACTTGTTGGATGCAGATGGACGCGCAGTGGGGGCAGATCCACATCACATCATCATCGAGGACCCTGATGGTTCCTGCACACTAATCCTGGACAATATGACTGCAGATGATTCTGGTCAGTACATGTGCTTTGCCACAAGTCCAGCTGGCAATGCCAGTACTCTGGGAAAGATCACAGTTCAGGGTAAGTGGCACATCATACCTATATATAGGATGATCCTAAGAGTATTCTTTTCTACTGCTTCATTACACTTTTCTTGTGAACAATGATGAATAGTCTAAAACATAAAACACTGTCATGTGTTTCTTTTAGTACCTCCTCGTTTTGTAAATAAAATAAGGAATGCCATCTTTGTTGCCGGTGAGGACGCTCAGTTCACCTGTGTAATACAAAGCGCCCCCAAGCCCAAAGTGAGGTATGGATACCTTCCTTATGTTTTCTTCTTTCCTTCATTTTGATTCAGTTTTGCAATTTTTTTTGAATATCAACCCCGTCCTCTAATCTTGTCTCCTCTCTGCATGTGTCCCTGTTCAAGGTGGTTCAAGGATGGCAGGCTGCTGACTGACCAGCAGAAATATCAGACCTACAGTGAGCTCCGGAGTGGCGTTCTGGTTCTGGTAATCAAAAACCTGACAGAGAGAGACCTTGGACACTATGAGTGCGAGGTTGGTCTAGACTAATTCATTTCCATTTATCTGTATTCGTTTTGTGACATTTCAGAGTGTACATAATCTCTGGGCAATCACTTAGTAAGGTTAAGACCATACAGCATTACATAGAGAGATATAACAATTTGAAAGCCCTGTTGCAAGTAACAGTAAAATAAATACATTTAAGAGGAAGAAATGTCTGGCATGAAGAGGCTCTGGGAGGGCAGTTATAATATGTGAGACAGGGAGACTCGTGAACCTCGAGTTTTGTACACTTAATGTTAAATGATTGACATAAGTACTCCAAATATATTAGGATCATTAAAACTATTAAGATCTATTTGTTCAGAATTTGGAGCTCTACAGTAAGAGGTCTCAATACAAGAAAATATCTCAGATAATTACAAAAATAACATTTCCTTTATTTTTAAGGGTCAATGAGGGGAGATTTTAATGCAGGTCATGCATTTGCCTTTGTGCCTATAAATTAGTTTCAAGATAGTTGATATTAATTAGCAGCAGTGAGTTACATTTATGACTCTAAAAATATATCTGTTGGATTTCAGTTGTCGAACCGTCTGGGCAGTGCAAAGTGTGCTGCTGACTTGGTCTTCCCCTCCGCTGTGGCTCGCTCTGGTGAGCAGGCCATCACCATTGAAGGTAGCAAGTCTGGCTTTATCCATACAGTCTTACTCTTTTCGGACGTTTTGTGGTTTTTGTTGAGCAGAAAATGCTTTGAGTGCAGCTTTAGCAATGCAAAATAACCATCATGCTTTGTCCATGTTCCTCCCACAGTTACCGAGCAGGAGACGAAAATACCAAAGAAAACCATCATCATGTAAGTACGATCAAAGTAAGATCGAATAGTTGGATGTTGAATAATCTTGGATTTTCTTAACTTAACACTACAGTATACTTTAATAAAATAATTTCTATATAATATATATTTTAGGAATCTTTAAGGGGGTTCTTTTAAGATAAAGTTCCACTGCAGTTTTGGGGTTCATGTATCTGTGTAGGTATTGCTTTTATCATTAGATAACATTGCCCATCATAGGGCATTTTGGGGCATTTTTCTGTATGTGTGTGTGTGTGTGTGTGTGTGTTTTTCCTCTCTGGCTCCATGTATGCATTGTGTAGTATTTATAGCCTCGATGCAAAAGGAATCTATCACAAGGATAATGAAAGGGTGGGCTGTTCTCATCAGGGTGCTGTCTACTTCAACTGTCAGCCTAATTACTGCAGCTTATTACTATCATATTATTTTTAAATCCAAGACTCCAAGCAAGGTGGGTTTTATTTACATAGGCCTAATGCACTTCTTATTCCAGTGAGGAGACTATAACCACCGTGGTGAAGAATCCTCGAATGAGAAGACACAGATCACCTGGCTTGACTCTTGCTGGTGTCCACCGCTCTGAGACTTCCACCCCCGAGCTTCCTACAGCCAGGACAAGGAGGATGCCCACTCCAAGAAAGACCACTATCCCAACTCTCTATGTTACTGATCCCCAGGGGGCGGAAGCCAGGGGAACAGAGAGCAAGCCCAGGTGGGTTGAAGTAGAAGAGGTCATCGAGTATAAGGTCAATAAGTCTCCCAGGTTGTCCAGGAGGAGAGGTATTTCGCCAGCAGGGTCTGATCGTGCAGGCACACCCTCGAGACCCAAAAGGTCTCCAGTGGAAAACCCAAATGCTAACAATTCCAACAACAAGCTTGTGGAGCAAGCACAGGCCCACCTGCAGGGAGACATCAGCAGCCAGCCGCTCTCATGGGAGGAAGAGGTGACTGATGCTGCATCTGGGTCTGCTTCTGGGGAGCCGCACGAGCTCTCTTCTGTTCTCGCTACAGCTGGAGAAGATCACGACGACCTGGATGATGAACAAACTGTAATTTTTGAACCCGATGACGAGGAGGATACATCTGCAAGAAAGCAAGAGCCTGTGTTCCTAAAACAAGGAGATCGTGTTTTAACCCTTGAGGACTTGGAGGATTACGTCCCAGAGGAAGGAGAGACTTATGGCTCCTCCCACACGCAACACGTTAACGAAAAGCCTTGTGAGATCTCTGTGCTTCAGAGAGAGATTGGCGGTTCTACAGTGGGACAGCCGGTGCTTCTCAACGTGGGCCGGCCTGATGTGGTGCCCCGGCAAAGGACTGGCTTCTTTAGTCGGTTCAGGGAGAATCTCTCCAGCAGCCTTTTCTCATCTGCTGTCCCACCGCAGGCCAGGGAGGCTCGGTCCAGGGCGGAGAGGAATGTGCCTATTCAAGTGAGCCATGCAAAGCTGGAAGTGAAGCCTTCGTACTGCTCAGAGGTGCAGAGAGTTGAGGGCAGGCAGCAGAGTTTTAAAACCAAAGTGTCAACTCAGACCTATGGTTACACATCAGTTGGCAATCCTGTCACTCTTCAAATTAGAGATGACCTTTATCAGAACCAGTGAAAAGCAAACATTTAATTTGGCATCACAAACCCTCTTAGTCTTAAATAGGGACATTCACTAAACATGAAAATACAGATCGTAACCTGAGCAACATTTACTGCATTTGACAAACCATTCCATTTTTAGCCTGCCAATCAGATAATAGTGTCATCCTTAGATATTTTCTTGACAGACTGTTAGACTCTACTGTCTCTTACAGATGAGATGGAAACTATAGGGATATACATGTTGTGTGATGTACAATATGCATGATGGGCAGAAGCTAAGAAAGGTCTGACATTTACTGATTAAAACCTTCATATCTAATGGTGAGTTGAAGTCTTTAAATAAAATAAATGTTTTTTGGTTATACATACAGTGATTGACAAATTTATGAGACTGCCACCCCCAGTGTAAGGTTTATGTCACAGCTCCCTAAATTAACAGTACTGGTGATTACCAACAAGTTTTATGTTTCTGTGATGGTTAATCCACTGGTATACCATATTACAGTTATTTACTTGCATGATTGTTATAATTAATTTGTGACTGCAGAGAAATCTAGTGTCTATTTTTTATTGGTCTTTATTGGGTATAAAATGCATTTTTGAGAGATAACAAATTACAATGATGTTTAACAGTGTACCTACGCTGAATGATCAGCTTTACTCCCCAGTATTAACTGATCCAGATGTAATCCTTAGTCCATTGCAACATACATGAATAGGATTTATATTTTTTCAGGTTTTACTTTGGTACCATTCAGGTCATGCTATGGCACTTTGGATTCCTGGAGCTGGAAATATTGGGAGGTAATGAGATGCATGTTTCAAGTAAACAACACTGAATATAAAAGTAGTGTAAACTTGGGGACTGTTGTGTTTCAGGAGCTGTTAGTTAATCAAATTGGAGAATCACAAATCTCTACTACATTATTTTGTGGTGTTGTGAATGATTCCTTAGTGAGCAGTTTATAAACACGACATTTGCGCGAGCAAATCATTTGGTAGGTGAACAGATGCCTGTTTCCAAGTTCCTACCATCAACTGAATTTTTTACTCAACTTTTTTGGCATTTGTGTCTGCTAGTGCGGTGAAACAGCCTGTAAACTCAGGTTGTTACAGGGATATTCCTATGCAAGTGACAAATATGTAGATGAGTGACTGCATGTATTTGCTTCTCCAAGACAGATGTGTTTCTCTAGAATAACCAGTTGTCATCCTATATTTGATTGAGCGCAGATGTTTATGCAAAGTACTTCAGCTGACAAAATTTACTAACTTTTTAGTGCAATTTAAAAGTAACTAGAGTAACTTCCTAATTAAACATGTGTGGTGTTTGTGTTGATCAAAAGGTGTCTGTTAAAAGGATGATTTTATGTAATAATTTTAAATCACAAACTGATTGTACTTGCTTGTACTGTACATGTGTAGTTTTGGACAAAACATGGTTGAGTACAACGTGTTCAATTGAATAAAAGTACTGCAAATATGCCACATAATTAGCTTCTGTAGTAATTTCTTTATATAGCACAAACTCTGCATTGTTGTATGGTAACATTTACTGATGTTTCAACATAAAAGTCATAGTGCTGAGTACATGTTTACAACAAGCACATTCCTATAACAGCTAGTTTGGTTTTAAAGAGGCCTTCGTGTATTTGTTCAGCATGATGTAACATTTGTGAGACTTGAATTTAAATAGTAGCATCAGGAACATAAAGTACTCTGAGCAAAGGAATGAATGTTACAAGATACAGGAATATAATGATTTAGGCATAATTGGCTATCCAATCTAAAATGGACATTTTTAAAATATTTACTGTTTTCTCAATTCTAAGCAATAAAAAAAAAGCAACAAATTTGCTGTCATTTTAATGTACAGCTAAAGCTGAAACTTACACAATATAAAGTTTTCACAAATGTACAACATTAAATAAACATGTGTTATAAAAGAATACAATGTAGTTGTACTGTTTCTAACTCTGTGATGGGATTCAATTCTACATGAGCACAGCAGTATTTAGTTTTCCAGCAAACAAAGTGTAAGGAACCAGGACATTACCTGGCAAGTTATATAACATAATAAAAAAATAAAGCGTTTACTAACTCTGGAATAATGTTACTGTTTCAAAGGTATATCCCCTAAAAGTAAAGAGTCACCACATGTTCCTGATAGGCTTGGCCAAAATAGTCTTTCTTACCTTCCTCACATTTCACCAAGTCTACGATTACATTTGTGTAAATAAACTAAAAGCTGATGATGACAGATGACACTTCAGGTAGGAGGGTGAGAGATTAGCTGGCTGAATGCTTAATCTCTCTCACCCTCGCTAGCTGGCACCAAAAATATTAGTTTATGAAACTCATGAACATTATCAGAACACAACACTGATTCACGATTAGGTTAAGCGGCTATCTGCCAAATTAAAAATAAAATAAAATCAGCTTTCCTGATTATTTTGATCTTAACAATGCACAGTTGTGTCAGAATAAATGGCTTAACTACACAGCCAGAGCGTAGCAACACTACTCAGTACAGGCAGGTGGTGCTCACTTTGAACTATGACAAACTGTTTATCTTTAGGGAGATGAGACTAAACTCGAAATCCACCCCAACATTTGCAACTGCCATGTTTCACAGCTCACTCAGCTCAGCTGTTAATCAGAAGTAATTGCCCTCTGACGAGTGCTGTGCACTACAATATGACCTAAATACATCACATAAGCATAACACAAAGGAGTGTCTGTATTTTTAACAGTACAGAAAGTACTCTGTCTAAAAAAAGAAAAAGAAAAAAAAAGCCTGGTACCACACGATACTAAGATACTGCCCAAACCTACTTACCAAATTTTAAAGGGGGCCCGAGTGCTGGTTTTAATCTCTAACTCTGACCATCACTTGTGTATTTCACTGCATCTAAGACATTAAACATCAACACAGTGTAGCTGGTTGCAAAAGACTGAAAGAAACCCCACCCCCCTCAAAAACAAACAAACAAAAAAACCCTAATCCTTGAAAAACCAGTCTGTCCAGATGATGCAATGAATTGTACTTCTGCAAAAGAATACGGTTGCACACAGTATTTTCTGTCTGCATCAAATTGTTCCCGCTCATCATGCCAGTTGTACTTCAAGTAAGAGTTCTCAGGGTGTCTCCTCTTCAGTGTAAAAATAAAATGTGAAAAGCACTTTGTTTGTAAAAAAAATTAAATAAAAATGTCCCACTTTACACCAAGTTATTTATTAGTAACTACTTCTAAAAAAAAAAACTTTTTGTATATCTGCTGAAGGAAATTGTCCTAGTTTCAAAGACCACCATCTGAGGGAATGTACAAGAGTGGAATTGTGTGTCGGTGGAGTGGCTGAGCGACGACCATGATGCTGCTTTCTCCTATGAGGACACTTTCTTGACCTTATGAATTTCCTGCAGGAAAAAAAAAAAAAAAAAAAAGGTTTTATAATTAGTCAGGGAACACATCGATCTGTGGCAAGAAACTAAGAACAGACTAAGAACATGAAAGCAAGCCTATGCAACGTTTGCTGAACAGTAATCACTCTGGCTGCAAGTAGTTTTTTTATAGGATGTGGTTCCAATATTTTTCTTATCCATAACCTACCAGTCATACCGGACGAAAATCCTTTGAGCTAACGGGATTCAATAAAGGTTTATTCTTCATCAACTTTTAGTAACATCTTTCTGACAAACATCTAAGGTTAAATGCATTTTACACAAGTCCAACTAGTACAGAGGGCTTACTATAAATTTAAAACCTCTCTGAAATGATTGAAACCTGTAATGACTGCAGTCATTCTCAATTTGGTGACAGTTTGATTAGATTGCCATCAGATTCATAAAGTTTAGATAGATTTTTTGTTTCAGAGGTTCCATGAGGTCCTGGTGGACTGAATGTGAACAGTTAACATCAAATTTCTGTTTAATGTGAATTTCTTTGTATGCAGATGGCAACAGATTTGCACTTTCCACCTGTTTGTTACAAAAATTGCATGCACTTGCTGACATGCTCCTATTCAACTGCAGAACATCTCCGTCTTATTGCTGTTTATAAATCACAGTTTTGTCATTTTGAAGACAGAGTAAATATCCCTATTCGGATGTTTAGTTTAGAATAAAATACATTGAATAATTAAAAGTGTTCCTGGCATAACATTTAAAGTTAATGTTAAAACTTTAATTGCCAAACTTTAAACTGACAGATTGCAAAAAACAAAAAAATAAATAGAAAGTGTGTGTTGTGAAATCGTAACTCACCTCCTTAAGAGCGTCTTTCAACTTCGCATAAGCATCGTCCAAATTATCATTGATGATTATAACATCAAACGCACCAGGTTCTTTGCCTAGAAAGAGATCCATTCATGGTCGGTTATGACGTGCAGATTTATAGTTTGTAACTTTGATCTGTTGAGAGCAAATCACAGCTACTTACTAAACTCCATCTCGATTTTGGCTGTCTGTAAACGCTTTTGGAGGCTCTCCTCCGACTCTGTTTTTCTGCCTCTTAGACGCTTTTCCTGAAACAAGAGAACAGGTTCAACCTACAGAAGCAATTCAGAAGCCAAAACCCGTTTTACCTGATCCCTGTGATGCAAAATTTAACTGGTGACAACACCCACTTGTTTGGTGGCAAAAATGGGAAACTACAGACACGTGCTGTGTACACTTCAAATCTTATGTGCTTACCAGGATTTCCATGGATGGTGGCTGGATGGAAATGAACATTGGATTGAGGTCTGTCTTTTTGATGTTCTTCACACCCTGCATATCAATGTCTAATAAACAGATGAGGTTCTTGGATTGGACCTCTTGGACAGCTGCTTTACTCGTCCCATACAGGTTCCCGGAAAACTCTGCACTCTCAATAAAATCGCCATTGTCGATGCCTGCCTGCATCACATCCCGCGTAACATAATGGTAATCTGAAACCCGGGAGGAAAAAAGAAAAAAGAAGAAGAAGAAAGAAAGTACACAAAAAAAGGACAATTGAGAAAAAAATCCAACTGTTTAATCAGCCTGCTTTCAGGTTCATTGGTTGTGAAAGAGCAGTGACATGCCGTACCTATGCCGTTCTGCTCTCCAGGTCGGGGTTTTCTTGTCGTATCTGAGAACGGAAAAGACACTTCTGTCACACTAGAGTTTAAAAATCTGGCGCTGCAACAATTTGTTACTCGCTTAGGGAGAAAATAAAAGCTTTACTCATGACTAACAAACCTCAACAGCAAAATAATAAATATTAAAAGTAATGTGAAATTCTTTACAGGGACATAGACACACTTACGTGAGATGCTGAAGCCAAAGACACCTTCATATTCCTTCATGAGCTTCTTCAGCAGAGTGCTCTTTCCCACCCCTGATGGGCCACTACACACCACGGGCCTGGGTCCAGCCATAACTGAAATAACAGCGGAAAAGAAGAGTGTGGTTTGTTATAGGAAACAAATGGGCGAGGCTGCAGAGCAAATCTGTAACCACACAATATGAGTCATCACTGGACCAACTTTACTCTGTGCAGTCACAAGGGTTTTTGCTTCTTTTGTTAGTAAAAGGCAGGTAAAGAGAAGCCTCGGCGAGGTGAGGGACATGCCATAAAATGCTAAGCCAGCAATGTTTAAAAAAAAACAAAAAAAAACCATGATGAGAGCAAAACAGCCCTCAGGAGAGCTAAAGCAATCAACTGGTAAGCAAGCTGTGAAGTTACCATAGTGCTGTCGAGGAACAACTACTAATTGAAGCACCCAACTCTGGTTGTGAGTGTCAGAAAGAAAAGGAAATTATCTTAAATTTAATTAACAGATATTTTTATTTACTCAAACTACACCTTCATCAGCCTTCAAACTAAAATGTGCAAACATCTTGTGAGCAGGCAGTCAGAGTTCTTTGTTTCTCTACATCTCTCTTTTTCTTCCCTGTTACATCACATTTCTTTTATTACAAATTGCTTGACTATCAACCAAAAGTAAAGAATTAAGCAATGAGTCTCACGTTCCTCCTAACCCCCTTACCTCAAAACACACAGAGCTGACGCAGACAGGAAAATCAAGTCAACAGGAAGGGAACGATTGTGTGTCTGCAGATTGTGTTTAAAAGCAGATGGGTGGAGAGACGGGGAGTGGGCAGGGCCAATTTTACTGCACTAGTTTTTTTTTAAAGTTCCATCTTATGATTCAGTTTAAATATCTTATGACTTGGTAGTGACTTGCTATAATGCAGCCATGTATGCATTTTGGTTTCAGCCCTAATGCTCAAACAACCTCTCATTACAAGACACTCAAAGTGTCTCGAAAAAACACTGAACCTAGTAAAGAAGATAACACAGCATAATAAAAGGCATTAAAACACTAGTTTTAACTACACTACTACGTCAAGGTGAGGTGTCTGAATCCCAATAAAGTCTAAGCAATCTTTTAAAATGAAAGCAAAAGTAAACTAATCTGCATGTTTGGATGCTCGTGTGATCTTTTAAGAGCAGAGAATAAAATT